GGATTGATGGAGACCAATTCACCTAGATTAACTCAATCGAAAATTCTTCACAAGTACATAATTTTTTTCAAAGTAACTTCTTCCGATAAAATATTTAAAGTTGTGTTTGAGAACATAGAATCTGGTCTTGTATTTGAAAAATTGAACTAAATTTCTTTCGATACTAGATTTAAAACGCTCATACGATACTCCCAAACATTAAACCGGCTTGTTTTTTCCTTCTCACAACACATATACATGTATCATATGGTGTTGTGACTTGTGAGTAGGGTATTTATGTTGGTAGAAAAAGTTACTGGCTCCTCAGTGTGGAATGATTTTACTTAAGTTGATGACTTATGCTCCTACTATAAAATACTCCACATGGTGTAGAAGCAATAATGCTGTTTTTCTTGTATAAGCAATTTTGCGGTAAAACACTTGTTTAATTATCACCATGTTGCTCTCTTTTCTTTGTCAACTAAAATAAATAAATGAATAAAGCAAAAAAGATCACTCCATTTGTTTTGGAGAAATTTTGAGTCAATTAGGCTAAGATCTAATAATGCAATTCATCATTACCATAATCCTTAATCAAGGGTAGGAAAATATGACATTTTTATTTTTATTTTTATTGCAAGTAGAAGAAGTGATTTGAAACATTGAACTAGTTGACACACACAGGTAAGAGGGACTTGAATGCTGAACTTGTACCATGTGTCAGCTCCTAAATAAGATTCTAATTGGTTGCTGCAATATGGATTGGCCCCATCATGATTGATTGGATTGATGAATATAAGTTATATATATATATATATAGGGTAAAAGGCAATAAACCTCCCTGAATTATTAGAGTATTTCACAAAACCCCCCTATATTAACAATTGCCCCCTCAACTATTAAAAATGTGCAATTTAAGGACAGTAGTCTAATAGCAGTTGACAGAAAAATTAATTGACCATTTTGCCCTTACAATAGACTGGTATGTCATTTTGTTGTTTTTTAACCTTCATCTGCTAATCCCTCTTGCCAACATTGACAGCACATCAAGTTTTATCACATATTACTGTTATGTTTGCTTTTTGCTAAAATTTGCGCCAAACAATCCCCATCTCTTTGATCATTGAAACCCTAAATTTGTTGCTCTGACCAGTGACCATTGAAACCCTAAATTTGCCAAAATCAAATAGTCATAAGCAACCAAATGCACAACAAGAAAAACAATTAAAAAAAAAAAAAAAACCAGTAACAGGGCAAATTTATACCGAAAGCCAGCAACTAAAAATATCCCAAACATCATAGTGTTATCTCTCCTTCGATACAATCTCTGGCTATGAATCGCAATCATTAACAACCCAATCACAAAACCCCAAACTCTAGCCGCAATATCCAATTACAAAAGTTGCCAACCCAATCACAAAACCCAAGAATATGTTGTCAATCATCAAGTAATCCCAATCGCAAAATCTAAAAAATATGTTGTCGTCGATCAACAAGCAAACCAATCGCAAAACCCCAAGAGTGATCACCAGGCAAACCCAATCGCGATCGTAAAATTCTCAACCCATCATCGCCAAACCCATATAAGAGAACTTTCACTGAAACCACTGCCGCTGCAACAGGCACATTGGTGGGTCTCGCCGTCGAAACACCATCGCCATCACGATCGCCGATTATCAGGCTTTATCGTCGTTAGTTCAGACTTTCAACCTTGTCGCCACCATGTTGATTCTTGCTGTCACCATCAGAATCTATTGCTGTTATATTCCTTAGCTGATCTTCGCCGTCATCGGATCTGCTGGTAGGATCTGCTTGAGAACGAGAGAGAGAGAGTTTGGTAGAGAGAAGGAGTTTCTTTGACGAAGCTGACTAGATTTGGGAGTTGGAGTGGGTTTTAAATCGGGTCAAAAGACAACCCGATTTAAATGGGTAATAAGGTTATTCTTGCCATTTAAAATTTATGCTTAGCTTATGTGATGTCACACACCACTTTAACGTTGAAAATTCACCGGAATTTGAACGGAATTGGGATATTTGCAAAAAAAGGGATAGTTTAGGGGGTTAATTGTAAAAATAAAAGTTTAAGGGGGTTTCTTGCTAAAGAGAGCATAGTTTGAGGGGGTTTATTGCCCTTTACCCATATATATATATATATATATATATATATATATATATATAGTTTTGTTATTGTCTTTATCAGTTTAAATGATTTTAAGGGTCCCCATTCCCCCACAGACAGAATTTACCAAGTTTTGGCTCAAGACTTGCTTAAAGCCACATTTTAAAGATGACAAGCAAGTCATTCACTGTGATCAAACTTGGTCAAAAATGAGGATCTGAGTGTGAGCAGGGTATTTAACTATTTATCTCTCTCTCTCTCTCTCTCTCTTTTTATTTATTTTTTATTTTTTTATTTTTATATTTAAGTAAGTTGTATTAATCTTACTTTACCCCATGCTTTTGATTAACCTCTTTTCTTTATGTTATTCTTTTGATTGAAGTCTTTTCCTTATATGTTTCCTATTTAGATTATGAACTCTTTTACTGCACACTCTGTATTTGCTGATCCAAATGATATTGGACAGTATGCATAATGAAGTGTTGTTACTAAAGTTTTATAGAATCTAGGTAAGTAATTCAGGCTTATATTGTTGGAATATATAACCTCATATTAGAGTGTGGCTTCGATATGTTTTGGGTGATTGCACGTATTCGGAATTTACAAATCATTCGAGAGTTTAAGGTGACTAATGGATGTTGATTGGTTTGACCTAAGCATCTAATTAAGTAATTTGATGGATCATAATGAAAAAATAAAGATGCGAAAGCGGGATCATTATATGAATATGAAAAACTTGTATGCCCTGTATATCAATATACAAACTTTTACAAGTTATTGAGAAATACAGAACTTGGACATGGGCTTATTATGTGATATAAAAACTTGAGCAGGACACATGTAAATAAGAGAAAAACTTGGGCGGCAGCATAAATTTTATAAAACTCAAACAAAAATATTTAGAATTTGACCCATAAATAACCTGAATTATGGGAGCTACAGGCCCTGCCAGTCACTTCTGAACACACAAACCTAGTCTGAGTATTGTGCAGTTTAAGTTTCCTCTTTGAAAAATCTATCTACACATTATTGACCAGAAGGATTTTTTAAAGCAGCATCTGTTGCTTCCTAGAAGAAAGCAATGAAGTAAAAAATGGAAGCATATCCTAAAGAACAGTGCTAGTGTGCTACATAGGATAAGTTGCTTGCAATGAGCCTGTGTTTTCATCCGTTGAATTGAATGTATAACGTCATATGATATTTAGTTCAACGGACGAGAACACGTGCTCATGTGAGAGCGCCCTCATTCATTTAACTAAATGCATAACATGAATTAAATGTCTAACATCATACGAAATTTAATTTAACGGATGATAACACATGTTCATGTAAGAGTGTTCTCATTCATTGAACTACACGTATGACTGAATGAATATGTGACTGACGTCATTCAATGGGTAAGCACACGTGCTCGTGTGAGAACGTCATTATTTTTGAATTGAATGTCTGACATAATAATATTTAATTTGACTTGACGGACTCAAATAAAATCGTAACATTTTTTTATTTTATAATTCCATTGAAATAATCCAATGATGGAATCCAAGTACACCTTTAAATTAAACTAAGTAGGCAATTCAATCCAAAATTAAATGACCACCATCTGACAAAGTAAGACCATAATTTTTGTAACTACAGTTATAAAATGCATTCTTAAACACTAGTGATCCACATGAAACTTTCTTTATTATCCTAAAAGAACTCTAAGATTAGGTGAACTACCCCTCAAATCCCTTGATTTGATCATGCACAAAATCTGCTGTCTACTCCATTAGTATAATTAATCAAAGGGTAGTTTGGCAAATGAAAAACAAACCTAGCTCTCAAGTCTTATCCACAAAAGTAAATCAATTGAACTTGTAATATTATGGACAAAAGTGTCTTTGTCATCAAGTGTGTGATGGAACAGTCAATTTGGACACACACCAAACACACTATTAAACCCCACATAGGATTCTAATCTATCACAGCCCCATATGTGATGATTGTCTTTTCATCATCAGAGGAACTGCATTACGAGGAACTTGGGCTTTGAGGTGGGACATATATGTGAGTAGGAGGACATGGGAAGGCTAAAAACGGTACTTGAGTTGAGGGACTATGTCACTATGAGAACCATGATATGTAGCATCTCAGTCATGAAAAAGATTTTACTTTTTACATTTTTTGGGCAAACTTTTGAGTTCTAGGGCTAGATTTTGACTGTGGTTTGATGAACTGTGCACTCATTAATTGCACGTGTGCGTCATGCTTGTGTTAGACACTAGAGAGAGATTTGAATGCAGAGAGTGAAGTGGAGGTGTCCGATCACTTACTTGTGTGACACAATCGTAACTGTGAGCTGTTTGCGATCTTACGTTGTATTACAACACTAAAAACACAATGAGAGTTATATTGTAGAAGATCCAGACTCATCTATACTAAATGTTAACTTGTAATAGGACAGTATTTCTTTTTATACTGGACGATCACTATCATTTACACGTGTAACACGATCATAAGTTTGAGTGATTGTGAACGTGGACTGTGCAACACATGTTGATGTGCTGGACTGGCAGAGGATCCGGACTCATTAATACTAATGTTAAGTGAGGAACAGGGGGATGGAGGAGGGGTTGAACAAAGAAAGAAGAGAAACTTCATGAAAGAAGCAGATTTACTGTGTGAGAGAGCAAATAAGCTTAAGAAGTCCTGCAAATGAAAAATAAAAAGCTCTGGTCATGTCAGAAATGCAACTAATTTGTATTGAAATTTGAAAACCATGTTACACTCTATTGAATACTTCAATGAGAAAGGGATCAAACTTAGCTAGGAGAGGGTCATTCCAGCCATGTAACAAAACTTCTTCTACTCAAAGGCACAATTTGTGTGTGTGTGTGTGTGTGTGAGAGAGAGAGAGAGAGAGAGAGAGAGAGAGAGTGATAGAATAGAGAGTGCATGAGTGAAGAGTGAATCTTTAAGCTTAAGGAGTGAAATGACAATTAGAGTCTCTAGTCATGCCAGTCAGTTACTACTTCAAACTCTTGAGACACTTTGTAGTCATCATCACATTCACATAATAAAAATAAATAAAGAAATAAGGAACATAATTGCAAAACCTTCCCAAAAAAAAATTAAAAAAAAATTCATTAAGCATAGCTTGAACTAAACTAGATAAAAATATTATACATAACATTATCATCTACTCTAAACTACTAAAAGAAACAGAGAAGCCAAAAAAAAAAAATTCCAAGACTATGGACTCGCGAATAGAAACTCAATTTGCTCTCTCAACAACATGGCGTATAAATACTGTTTCCAAGTCCGGTGGAGTAAAAAACTCCCTAACACCATTGTAGTGACATGTTGACACCGGCCGGCGCTTTCTGGGCGCCGGCGGGCACGGCAACTTCTCCGGTATCCTCGATTCTTTTGACGTCGGTGTCGTCGAATCATTGTCGTCTCCATCCCCCTCTTTTGGTTTTGCAGTTATTGACTTCAACGGAGCTCGTACCACGATTCCGGCGATCACCCATTTCTTGCCGTCCGATTCTAGGCCTCCCTCAGTTTGATGCTTCTTTGAAAAACCCATTTCGAATCCAAACTAAAAATGAAAATTTTGAACTGAAACAGAGAGGGAAAAGGAGAACAAAGAATAAATCTTGAAAATAAACAATATTTCTTGTGTTTTACAGAAGAAGAGAGGTGTATCGAAGTGAAATGAAAGATGGGTTTTGATTTGAGAATCAATATGATTCGATAAAACTCTAGAGAGAGGAGGGAATAAGCAAAAAGGGTCTTTGTTTCTCACTTATGATTCTATTACTATGTAAGATGGTGGAGAGAGAGAGGGGATGAAAACTTCAAACGAAGAAAGTGGCGTCAAAATGAGAATTGTGATGTAGAAAGTGTGATAGAGTGAATATATATCTATATGTGTGTATATATAATTTTTGTGTATATCTATGTGGAGTTATGCTGCTGTGACATGGACCTCCTAACAGTTGTGTCATAAGCTATTATTTACATTAGTACATTAAATTAGTACACAATGAAAATAATAATAATAATAATACACAATAAAATTAATAATAATAATAATACTTCCTCAGTTTCATTAAAAATATCACGTTTAAGGAATTGTGACTTACAAAAGTACCATATTTAGAGACTGTAAATTATACTCTCTCGGTCTACAAAAAGTGTCAATTTTATTTTTGAGTGTTTCAATTCAAAATTTAATATATTATTATTTTAGTATTTTTAATTTATTCTCTTTATCTTAAAATTATAAATGCATGTAAATCCACTACAAAAGGCTATATTTAAATTTTATTTTTATTATTATAGTTTTAAAAACATAAAAAATTACTAGTATATGTTAGATTCCCAAAAAGGGATTTTATTTTTTATTTTTTTAAAGGACATAGGGCTCATCTATCACATAAGTGATCTCACTAAAAACATATTCAACTTAAAATGTCATACAGTAAAATAAAATAATTATACACCATGATCAAAGATGATAATTTAAAAATGGCTAGCTCAGCGTATAAGTATCACAAAGACAGATCTAGAAAATTATGGTGGGGACGGAGTGTTTTTAACAAATAGAAAAAAAGATTGTGGGGGCAATAGTGGAGTTTTTCGTAAGTTCCATGGGAGCAAATTCAATATTTCAAATCTCTCTCTCTCTCTCTCTCTATATATATATATAATTCAAAAGAATAAAATTATTAGGTATATAATACAAATAGGAAAAAAATTAAGTGAGGGCGAGCCAACATTAGGTCTTTGCCTAGATGTACACAATTTACGCAGATATTATTTTCGATTTTAAACCCGTAATCTCCAAGTCATCCAATGGAGCAACCTTCTTGCTAAGCCCATTCTCTCAAACATAATAATTTAATTTGGTCAAATGACTTCAAAATAAAAAGAATGTAAAAATCAGACTAATTAATGTGATTTATTATAAATGAATTGTGATAGGATTTTTTAACAATATAATTTAAAAAAAAAAAAATACTTAGACGTAACCAGAGTTCATGATCATGGTTCACCGTATTGTCCGATACGTGATATATCGGTCGATACAGTTAATGTATCGACAAATTTGTACTGATTTTATTTAAATACGTTACACTGCGACCATGACTGATATTAAAACCATATTCATGACAATATGTTCTATATATATCCATCTCTATCAATATATATATATACATACATACATACATATATATAGACATGAAATATTTCAAAGAAACCCGTGACCGAAGGAAAAAACAGTGTCTGTAAGAATAGCCGCAACGCAAGGAGATAATTTACGGAAGACGGGGGCATGACAAATCATGAACTAGTTGTCAATGGATCATTATCTGCTTTTATTCACAAGAATTAAAAGGAAATTAAAATTTTGAATTTCAAAAATAGAATAAAATTAAATTTTCATTGAAGTGTAGTGGTCGTACTGATGATGGACAAATCTATGTTTATGCATGGTACAAATGGTTCAGGTGATATGGTACCACACTCATGTCACAAATATAAATCCAAAACTTTATGATTGACACCATCAATATCAATGTTAACGGATAAGTTCAAGGTTTGATTACGATCATTGTTTTTAGATAAGTGGGTTCCAGTCGTATCTGGTTTAGGAATTTCAAAATCATGTGAATTGTGTACAAATTTATATATATAAATTTCGTAATGTTTAAGAAAAAATCTATATTCAATTTAAAGTCAGTAATAAGCATGGGACATCTGGCTGATACTAAACGTCAAAAAAGTGGGCTGCCCGTGAAATACGGGCAGCCGAAATTTTGGCGCCAATTGTTGGTATTTCGTTTTTCAACGTCTCTATTTCCCGCCCTGACACTTTGATTTCCCCATTTTACAGTGCTCTGAGTACTATTCTCAGAGCAAGTATTTTACTGACACATTACGACGTCGTTTGGCAGTGCCCATAGGCTCTTAGCTTGTAAGGGGTGGGACATTTTCATTTTTTATTTATTTATTGAAATACAAAAATTTATATGCCCCACTTAAATCCTCAACTTTTTATTTAAAATCATGAAGTATTTGATGGCCGCTATTTTTTGTTTTGAAAATTGACAACACTAAATTTGAATCGTGAAATATTATGAAAATTAACAACACTAAATTTGAATCATGAAATATTATGAAAATTAATAACACTAAATTTGAATAGTGAGCAACAGGTAGTGGCTTAGCGGTACTAAATTCCTATTTCTCAAAAAGAGATCAGGGGTTCGAGGCTCCATTGAGACATGAGTATGTAAGTACCAACTAAAAAAAAAAAAAACAATTTGAATAGTGAAATATTATGAAAATTAAGTGTGATATTATTACAGTGGCTAGTCATCTCAATTTATCCTTAAAATACTCATATGAACATATAAGGTAGAGCAATAAATTAAGATTGTCTTCTATTACGTGACAAAAAAATTTCCAACTTTATGATATTTTGAAATATAATAATAAGTCGGTGCAAAACTAATGTCTAAGGATCATATAAATCAAATTGGACAGTTAGAGTAAAATAAATGTGGCGGTGTTGTCCGAGTGATAAATGATTAGATCAACTACAATGATATTGTGCTATATAATTATTTGTTCTTGCGATTATAGTCTATATTTACATAATTTTTCATCTTTTAAATTTTTTTGTTCTCGAGTTCTACGGTATTTCTTTTTGGTCCTAAAAATGCATTACATTATAACTTGATGTGATAAAAATTGAATGATACCCTTCTTGTAAGCTAAATGTTATAGTTATGAGTAATACATATTTTGGCTGATACGGAATATATATTTTTTGTGGGGTTAATACATGATGAGGTACGGAATATATATTTTTGGGGGGATTAATACATGCATATCAAGCACATATTTTTGTTAATTAAATATTTTATAAACTGATTTTGAATGAAAATTATTTTCAAATTTAATTAAAGAATGTGTAGTGATGTGATATTCATACTCCAAATTTCAACTCTTGCACTTCACCAGGAGTAAGTAACATCTCCAAAATTTAGCATAATAATTTATAATAATTATGAAGAATGAAAATTCATTTGAAAGTCAATAAATAGTTACCAAACGGGCCTGAATTAATCATTTATAAAAGTTGGCTGCCAACGTAACCACCCAATAATAAGACACTGCGTCTCGTGTGGGTCCCACTCAGTTGGTGGGGGATGGATTGAGCAGAAGAATCAAGAACCATTCACATTCACCAATTTTATAATAAAAAAAATGTTTACTTTGAGCAGAAAATTTTATAAAAAATTCTAGATATCATAATTACACTTGTCTCAATACTTCGCATGGACTACTGATAAGATATAATGGCTCTCTTTTCTTTTCATTTTTTTTCTCTCTACAATAAATTATTTATACATGAATTTGTAATCAAAATTTAAATTAAAATTTATCTCCTTGTGAAAAACAATTTTTAGACTAATTTAATATAATCTCCTACTATTTAGAGAATTAAAGATGAAATTATTTATAAAAAAAAGATAGTGAAGAGAATACGATTGCTTTAATTTCTGAATTGTAGAAATTTCAACAAGTTTTACTGTTAATCATCATTCAACAACTAAAATATTGGGAGTTGTTAGATGTCTCCCTTAATATATCAACTTCAAAAAGATTAATAAAAACTATAACATTAATATAGTAATTTTAATAAATTATTTGGTACACACCACATAGCAAAATTTTACCCAATCAATATCCTAATTGGCAACATGGAAGAAAGCAAGAAAATTGACTGAAAGATTACCAACAAAACACAAGAATCAAAAGGTTACCAACAAAATTGAAATATCCAACTAGCTTCGAATTTATTTGGATTTCTTAGTTTCACTAATTCTCTTCTTCCTTTTCTTCAGAAGCTCAACATTAGACTGCTCCCGCTTTTTTCCAATCTGTATTTATAGACACAATGATATGAACGAGTCACACCACGAACCCAAAAATATTCCAATACTAATTTTCAACAAAACTAAAATGATAAGTGATCCGAAAAGTCAAAGTCGCACAAGTCCGACTGTTTTATGTGAGAGAGGTGACGGTCATCCTCCACTCACATAAATGCAGTCGGATATCTCGGACTTTAGGTCAAAGGCATTCTACAAGAAATTAAGTCCAATTATGAGCTAGAAAAGCATGTTAAACCAAAGTTAACTGATCATTAACCGGAAAATTCAATTAATGTAATCACTATCTCCCATTATATCCAAAAGAAATTAAGACGAGCGTCACATAACTACATATGCATTATATCCAATCGAAATAGATTTCTCAGTGAACACCACAATGAGCTACTGAAAACACTTGCACAATGGGAAATTTTTAGAAAAAGCACGTGGAAATTAAAACAGCTCATTCCATTTTAATGTGCATTTGAACAGACACTAAAGTCAACGAAGTGAATATGAAAATCCAGTAAAAATTCGTCCTTACCTCAAACAACTATCGGTAAAAGACAAATTATTGCTGTCAGAGACGGATATAAAACTCAGATTGAGTTAAATTCAACGGAATTCAGGTGGTGAAACAGCTCATGTTGGGATAGGAATATGGTGTGAGATGGCTACTAGGATAATTCGCCCAGACTGGTTTGAAAACAAAGTAGAAGTTGGTTGGGTACATATTTTTCAAAGAGGAATGGAATGACCAATAATTTACCTAAAAAACTGACAAAGATGTCCAGTTTGATTCATAAAATCTGGTTTCAGCTACATTTCTAAGCACCCATTGAACTTTCACAATCAAATCTCTAATACTTGATATACTTCATGGAATACCAAAATTCTACTCATGCTGTGGTAAGTATTAAGAATGAATCGAGGTTTACCACTCTTAGCTTTTTGTAACAGAAAAACTTAGGATATCATGATAACTACTGGGTTAAGTAACTAAGACGGTCAAACATGCAAAAGAGAACCAAAATACCATACACACAGCCCATCACTCTAATGATTTGACAATTAGACAAAAAAACTAGAAACTTACTTTCGATGTTAAAAGAAATGCAAGTTAACACTGCATACAGTGAAGAAGAAAAATATAAAGGAAGCATAAAATTACCTTCATAGCTTCAAAGAGGTTCCTCTTAGCACGCGACATTAGAAGCTTGGACATACTGTCATTATCCTCAGCAATTTGTTGCAAATCAGGCAGATATTCATCGCTAGCCTCTGTATCCTCAACAGGGTTCTGGTTATCCACATTTAAAACAGGAGGATACCGTTCACCTCGAAGTTCCATTTTCAATTCATCATGATACTGCCTCTGGAGATTTGACATCTGCAACAATAAAGTTGAGAGCTAAAACAATTAGTATATGACTATACGGCAAAAACCCATTTGATAGAACTAGCACAGTATGGTATTTAATTATGGTTTGGATCACCCTAAATGAACACCAAGAATAAGGGAGAAGGACAAAGACCAAGGCACAAGTTCAAATAACTTTGCAGAATTTTCTCAGAATTGACAAGGATCAATCAGTCAAACCGAACCTCCACTTGACCAAACAGGAATTTCCAAGGTAGCAAGGCAATAAATAAGGAGTCTTTTGCCACAACACAAAAATGAGGTACAACTACAGAATTATTTGTTTTATATCCTGAAAGAATCCATTAAAAGTGTTTAGCTAAACATATTAAGCTATTAACCAATTTTATTTTAGGTGCTTTTTATGCAACATGGGCATCTGGATGAGTCATGGCTTAATCCAATCCACCTGCACAACTTTTAGATTATCTTTCTTTACAATGAGCCAGCAGAGTATATTCAGTCATTAAGCTCTATATTCCAATTAAGTGAAATCCATTAGGAGACTCTACCTTTCTCTTTTTCTCAGCAGCTTCAATTGCTTCTGTTCTGTTGATAATACCTTCAACCAATAAATTCTGAGGATCATCCAAATTTTCCATTCCCACACCTGGCATTGGGAGGACTTCTTTTCTAGCAGCAGCTTGCAGCCGTTTTATGGTCTCTGCGTACTCAGGAAAATAATTTAACGCCCCATTGTCAACAAATGGTGATAAATGTGGTGGAGGAACCCTGTACAGACATCAAATATTTAGTGTGGCAATTTCTAACATAATAACAATAAAGAAAAAAAGAAGGAAGGTATTTCCATTTTAATCCTTTCAAAAGCAGCACATTTTTTTTTTTTCAAAAGGTAAAGTGGCACATTGTTCGTAAGATGAGCTTAAAGGTCCACACACGACTCAATGCTTTCCTCAAAACGAATGTGCAAACTATTAGCCATCATTTTAGCACAATAAAGGCAAGGGGAATAAACCAAGTGCAAGCAAACGCAATGACACTGTGCAAGATTAAACCAGAATCAGAAGAAAATATTTTAAAAAAAAAAATTACCTTCCTACCATATAACCCTCAACTGGCAATATGATCCGTGCATTTACACAATCATAAACCCACTGTGGCTGAACATATTCTCTGGAAAGGAACCTGCGGCCTTGAGTTGGCCTGTCAACAATCTGCACAAATTGAAGTTAATAGTCAATAATATTGATTCCCGGTATACAAAATAACCTAGACACTAGTCTGGGGCTAGGCATGTTTCAGATGTGACCCAGTTGTGTCTAAACCTAAAACGAATCATGTAGTCTGCCACATGAATCACACGACACTAGTTCAATATAAGCTAGACACACAGGGACATATCACAACATACTTAATTATCTTCTTAATAAAGATAATGAGTAGTATGTTAAGGAAAAAGAAGCAAAAACTATTCTTCTATAGTTAACAAAGATTTTTAAGAATGGAAGTGAGATAATAAATATTTTACCCAAATAGAGCAGAGATATGAGGAAGAAGTCTACTTCAGTTGACTGTGCTTTAAATAACATTTAACAAACTTGGTAGTGTTACAGGGGGATTCCTACAAAGAAAATTCAACTACAGGAAAACCGTATTCATCAAGTAGACATGATTTGAAAGGAGAAAATGGATCCGCAGGTATAATTCATTTTAAAAATATGGTTCATTAAATCCTTTCATGTCAGAAGTTAGTAATTAGCAAATTAAATAGAAATTTAAATAAGGATTTTGACATTTTACTAGGAATATAAAGCAAACCCATTTAGGTTTTTCCTTGCAATTGCCGAGATTGGCACTCGTTGAACTCAATTAACAGGGTTTAAAATATATGATTAGCAGCAGTGGTCAAAATTCCTAACAATCCCATACAAACAAGCATCATTATTATGTGGTCTTAGTGGCAAACCTGATGAGTAATGGTTTGGTCAGATTCATTAAACGGGGATCCTCCTCCCTCCCAAGAAACAGCACCACCAAAAGCAGGAATGACGAAAAGCAAAGACTCTCTGGGAACCTGAAATACAAAGAAAACAAAGTTCTATGAGATACAAGAAAGGAATATAAGAAAGTTTCCAACATAAACTCCATGGCGCTGAGGGAGGAGGATGGATCTACTAATAGAGTCTTGAGTATTGATTTAACATACAAGAAAAGAAGTTACGAGCATTGGAATGTGGTTGAGGCATAAAAATCTAGTCTTTTAGTTTAAAAATGATAATATATGACAAGCTTCATGAGATTGAAAATTCACCCACTGGAAAAAAAATTGATAATATTGCATTTCTCAATAAATAAATAAAAAACATAATGTAATCAGCAATATTTTATTTTTAAAAATGTGAAAAGAAACACATGTCGCATCCTACAATACATAATTAGTGTTTTTCAACCACAAAAAAACAACATGTGAAGCTCATAACAATATTAAAACTCTTGACCAACTACCAGTGTGCATTTCATACATAGAACTAGCATGAAAACTACCCTAATAATATATAGATTATGAGCACCAAACTGAAATTGCTTCAAGTCAAGACACTTGTGCAAGTCTAAACTTACTAAAAATCCTAAATATATATTCATGTGTTTATGTTTGAAAATCAGTATGACTAAAACAATCAAAAAAAGAAAATTGGCACTAGACATGCAGCCTTTGATTTATATGAAAACTTCCACAAAACATAGGCAACGATTTTAAGGTCTAGGAGTATACCAAGTTAATGGAGTATTATATAGACAAAATATGTGGGAAAAAATAGTTTCTAAGGACTTCTATCATATGTGGGAAGTTATGCTTGCATTAAATATACGCCTAATTAGCATAAAGTGAACAGCTCATGCCAACAGGTACACAACTATATATAACCAAACAAGAAAGTTCTGGAACATGTAAGAATAAAGATTTCACTTTCGAGAACTATCAATGTCATCATCATCATCGTTGCCTTAATCCCATGTGAATGAAGTCGGCCACATGAATCCTCTTTCCATTCTTTTCTATTACAAGCCATCTCACCTGTAATATTTAACCTTTTTAAAGACACTTTTAATAATTTCATCCCATGTTAATCTCAGTCACGCTCTCTGGATACTGCCGTCTATGTAAACTAGTTTTCCTCTCCTAAACGGTGCATCTATAGGTTTTGTAAAGATATCCATGTGTCTTGATGAAAACAAAATAACGGACTGTAGCAAGCATTCACAATGAATCTCCAAAGACTCCAATGCCAAAATAGATAAGAGAAAGACTTGAAAGTTAATGATGAATATTCCACAACCAAATCAGTTCCCAGCCAGCCGAGGGCAATCACCACCCTAAAAAACTCCCAAGGTTTGTAATGCTGCCTTCAACTCTGTTTCCACCAGTCACATTTATAATATATCCCTCCCATTTTCTGTTCTTTTTTTTCCCCCTTTGAGGAGTTATGTTCCTCTTCTATAGTTTTCTTCTATCAGGAATACCTTTAACACTCGAATAGAAAACCAAAAAAAAAAAATCTAACAAAGTGCTACATTTTCCAATAACAAATAAATGATCTCACCTCGCGACTCAAGAAGAATTTCACATTCTTAAAGAGAGATTTACACTCTCTAGTTTCTTCATCATCTTCATCCTCATCAGCAGCATCTTCAACAAGATGCATCAATGCACCAGGTTCATTGGAAGGGAGTTGATGTTGTAGCTGGGCCAGTCTAAGTTCAGACTCATGAAGCTCAGTCCCCTTATCCTTGATCTCAATTTGCTCAGATCCAGACAAACTGACAGCTTCAGATTCCATAGCGGTGGCCTTGGTATTAGCATCAAAGTATCTTGACAGTGCATAAAGATCTGCAGAACTCCAAAAGAAAATACCATTGAAGGTTATGTACAGAACGGTCTGTAACATATATCACATACGACACAGGACAAGTAATGACTGAATACTTTATATGCTGAAGTTGCTAAATGACACAGATCAAATTAGAAAACTGTTCATAAATATACAGAGAAACCATACCTGCTGCTAAAGCTTCCAACCGAGGATCAAGAATTGGTGGATATTTCACATTAATTGAATGGTAAAGTTTGAAATTCACAAAAGCAAGGAGAGTCTGCACCCACAGAATAAAAAAGTAAATTCAAGATCAAAATGAGACAACGAACTGTGTGGAAAGCTAAAAATGCACATGATCAACAAATTATCTGAGCTGGCAGGTAATTTCTGAAAAAGTAGAAGGTTAAGATGAAAGAAGAATAGATTCAGCAGATTTAATTGTTCAAGCTGTGGCTTATCTTTCGTCAGTGCTAATCTCCATTGTCCAATTTACAGAGGCATGAAACTATTTCTTGTTTTAAAAAATTACTCATCAAAAAGGAATATATTCTTTTATCTATAAGGAATTAACTTGACCATGTACTACCCTAAACAAACTATTGAGCAACTAATGGGGATCACAAAGTAATTTAGACATTACTATTAATAAAAGTATAAAACAAGTGGCATTATTTAAAAAAACGAAGAGGCCAATAGTTGATAACCTCATAGAATTCCAAAAAGGTGAGCATGATATTGTAGTCAACATCTTCAGGCAAGACTTGTTGCAATGCATGAGGAGTTAACCAAGTTATTTTCTGTCCCTCAACCTCAGCCTGGACCAATGAAGGCAAAAACATCGTAAGCAACATAAAACAAAAAGCTTCAAATACTACACAAAACAGAAATATAAACTCCATATGCCACTATACCTGGTAATAAATGCCTTTCACAGATATGAATGTTTTCCGCAATTTATGGGTACGAGATATGTAGGCCTGCCATTCATGGCTCAATCTATCCCAATACAAAAAATTGAAAAATAAAGAAAACAAAGATTAGTAAGGAATGAATAGCATCATTGCCACATATGATGCAATCAAGAGAAAAGCACTATAAAGTAAAAACATATCAAATTTAGGCAAATACATAATTCATAAACAACTAGAAATTGCCAACCTTCTACAATTATGGATACGTTTCACTTGGATTTTTTCTCTCTCTATAGCAGGTAATGCAGCAAAAAGGTGTACCATACTGAGACAATCATCCAAATCCCTTAGTGCATCAATGAACTTTGGGTACCTAAAATGCCAAGGATGACAGATCTTAGATGTCATATTCTCCATAAAGCTACTAGCATGCAATGAAAACTGTATAAAACAGACGTAAGGAACATACCTCTCTCGTATAAGCATATCAAGGGTATAAGTAGGCTGGCGAGTCAGTAGACGCTCAGCAAGATCCTTATTCTTCTTTGAGAAAGCTTTCTTCACCTTTCTATCATATGCCCGCATATCTCTAAACTTTTCGAGTAACGGCTCATGTTTAAGAAATGCAATATCTTTCATGTGATAATAGGTGTGATGATTTCCTTTCACCTTCTTCTTCGGTTCCCGAGGGAAGACGCCTTTGAGAATGCATAATTTCCTATAAATTTTAAACCAATAATGAGAAATGAGAGCATTATATCTCAACTGTTTTGATTTTTATTGACTTGATAATATAATGTATATGCACATGCACAGAAGCAAACTCACATAGCCATCACTCACCCATATATACATCTTGGTGAGAAACATACATAGAGACATGACTACAACCCTTAAGCTTACATATGGGAAGTTGGGGAAGCATGACCAGGACTCAAAATCAAAAGGAGACTATAACTCTAGCACCCTTAAACCAGAAACCTATAAGTACACTGAAAATCAAAAGCTCGCTTGCAGATGTTACAGTAAACCACAGCAGTGATTGGCAGCTGAGAATAAGCTGCTGATACCATAACGAAAATAAGTAATATTCATAATTTTCTGTTTTTATTTTCTCCATATCAGGTTTCTCAACAGCCAAAGAAGTATAATTTAGCACAAAACAGATATTGAATTCAAGACATGTAGAGAAAAAGAGTAAAAACTATGAAAAGCTATTAAGAATTAAGAACGTTTTAGGTCCTAAAATGAGTGAAACGAACAGAGATGTTGAGAGAGACCTGAAGAGCGATAGACTGACTTGTAGGTATTTTACAGCCTGTGTTCTAGTGATGTATCTTGCAACGTTCCCTTCCTTTTTCTTTCCCTGGAAAATACAAGAAGAAAATCGAGGTTTACAATATATACATATATAAACATACATATATACATATATATTACGTATTTGAACATACCGGAGGCCTATAGTGCTTCGGCATGGCTGTAGAGAAGCAGGGCCGCTTGAGAGGCCCTAGGCGAAATTTCAAATGTGAGGCCCTTAAGTTTCACAAGCGCAAAAAAAAAAATTATAAGAGTACGAAATTTTAACACGATGTTCTCAAATTCTATAGCTAATATAATTGTACGCCTGTGCCTTGTGCATAAGACAACTAACTAATAACTATAAATTTATCACTCCCAACAAATAATTGTGCACCTGTACAGTGTGCATAAGACAACTAACTAATAAGTACAAATCTATCAACACCAATAAATAATTATGCGTTTGTGCATTGTGCTTAAGACAATTAACTAATAACTATAAATTTTTATCACCACATAAACAATTGTGCGTCTGTGCAAGACAACTAACTAATAACTGTAAATCTATCATCACCAATAAATAATTGTGCGCATGTGCAGTGTGCATAAGACACCTAACTAATAACAATAAATTTATCAATTAAAGAGTGCGAAATTTTCACAGGCACAAAATAAAAAATGAACAGTTTCCTAGAGAACAGAAAACTGCAGCTTCTTTTACATTCATTGTTTATATAGCTACTAAAATTTCATGATTACAGATGACAAAAATATGTGGAGATGAGTGTTTATATAGCTACTAAAATTTCATGATTACAGATGACAAAAATATGTGGAGATGAGGTGACTATATATATATATATATAGGAGGCGGAACTTGTAGTACTGAAGAAGTAGTGGGACTTTTAGGTTATATGTGGCATCCACTATCATATATAATTTTGTCTTTCACTCTTTATATTAACTACACTACACTTTGTGTGTGTGTTTTTGGGAGCCAATTACCCGCAGTGATTGATTGATCATTGCTACAGAAGACAAAAAACCATTAACTTTTGTTTTGTTAAAGCCTGCTCTTGATTTCCATGTGTTTGTACATTCTGATGGCAAGTGCTTTGACAGTATTATTAACTGAAATTCTAGCTGAGCCAACTTCAAATAACATCAATAATGGTGGTATGTATCTTCATGTAAAAATAAAATAAAAATAAAAATAAAAAACCCTTAATTTGGCACTTTTAAGTATGAGCATAATTTAGAGATCGAAAAAGTTAATTATTACCTCAACCCACTAGAAGGGATCCTTAATTTTCGTGGGATTGAATGTGAAAATGCAAAAAATTATGACGAAAAGGGGTATGGCTGCTGCTTTTGTGAGATTGGAGTGGACGTAGGGAGAGGAAAAAAAAAACTCGATCGCCATGAAAGACACATGTAGAAAGGCACACATTTATTAAAATACTAAGAGAACCATACTATATTCATTCAGCTTTTGATAGCCATCACACACAGTGACACACACACACACACACACACAAAAAAACCCTAGTTTGGAAGCTACTTTCACTATTGGAACAAAGGCAAAGGCACGAATCAAACGAACCAAAGCTAGAAAATCAAATGATGAGATGTGAGAAAGCTCTTTTTTAGTCGATCCAGTCCATATAGGTGCCTATAAGTAGTAGGGTCCCAACCCAGAAATTAATAGGTAGCGAGGACTTGAATCAGTAGCAGCAGTTAGGTCGGGGCGAGATTAGGAAGAGAGGGAAATATGAAGGGAACGAAAGAATGAAACATATATAAAAGATCGATTCATGCAAAAGGAGAGAGAGGATGAACATACCTTGTCCCCTGAGGCGATAGCGGAGGCTGCGCCCTGCAGATTGTCGAAGCAGATTGTGTCGTCTGAAACTTGCCCTAACCTTATTTATCTTCGCCCTGTAGAGAAGTTGCTCCGAAGAGCTTCGAGGCAGAGAAGAGAGAGTCGAAGTTGATCAGAGCGATAGGTTTTGTTTGGATTGACGAAGATAAACCCTAAGAATTTGTTGTTTGGGCCGGGCTTCAATGGACATTGGACGGGCCTTGTGAATAATGACGACCCATGTACTCTCTGGGCTTTATTGGGGCATATTGTTTGGAAATTTATGACTTATCGCTCTTATGGTTGAAACTAGACCTTGATCGAGGCCTTAGCCTAGGTATTAAAACATATCAAACTTCCTTCGGATATGGGTTGGGCTTGCACATCTACCTGAAAAGTTTGCAAATGAATCACAATCACGAGCTGCCATGTTGCCCAAATGGTTGAGTGCTAAGTTTTTCCTTTTTGTATTATATACTCACTATTTTTATTTTTTTTTAATTATAGACCTATAAAATGTTAATCACTAATGCCCCCATAACATTTTTTTCTTTAAATTAAAAAAATTTTTGTTAAAAGTCACCTCCTCTCACATACTTTGTTGGGTCTATCCTTGAACGATATAGATTTTGCCGCTTCCACTCTCGCTACCGCTTTGTATCACTTATTAGATCATGAGCAAACTTCTGACAAAAAAAAAGTCAAAATCATGAGCAAGGGCTAATAGCCTATACAATTCACGCAAAATCCGTATGAGTCTTTTTTTTTAATAATTATTCGGTGCATATAGAATGAAGAAATTGTATATATTTAATAGTGAATTATGGAGGCGGTTAAGTGACCCAACACCTTCATATATCTCTCAAAGAAAGGAAAAAAAATTCATATGCAATGTAATGTGTAGGTGTTGTAAACTTGTCATTTCGGATAAAGCTACTTTTATATATATATATATATATATATATATATATTTCAACATGACCAATATGGGGTGACTCAACATCAGTGATTTGTTCAATTATGGCCACGAAAACAATTTAACTTTTCTTCATTAGTCTAATTTGTCATTTATCTACCAAAAGAAAAAACTTTTGCGATGAAAACAATTCTGCTAGAGTTTATCAATGGTTTGACAACAAATTTTGTACATAAATTGACCTCACCTGTAAAGGTCCCACCCCATTTGGCCTAGACCTAACTCTTGACATGAAGAGGGAACTTCTGAAGTTGCAACGACCCCTTATGATCTTCACTTAGGAAGTGGTACTAAAAGGAACTTCACCCAATTTGTTATATTTCAAAAGCTAATAGGAAGTCTCTTGAAAACCTAAAATTTTCTTAAATTTTATATTGTGTATACATATAAAATCAACCAATAATCGCCGCTCTAATCATTAGTGTCACGCTTCTTTAGGTTAAATTATTCCTCATTATCTCCTATCCAACCTTTTTTTCTCAATGAGCCTACCACAATCTAGCCCATACAAAGTGTGCAAAGAATCCCCAAGGCATGCAAGTATGTGTGCCCATTAAATTTTATATCGTGTATACATATAATATGATTTTTGTATATAGAGAGAATCAAAGATATAGGTAGCTCTCCATCATTTGTTCTTGATGAGTTTAAGCTGCCATGGCATCAAATGGTTAAGAGAATAATTTTTTTTTTTTTTTTTTTTTTTGAAAAGTAGGTTAAGAGAATATTGTAATTGAGAAGAGAGTAGTTTTTTAAGTTTCATCTTCTTAAAATAATTGGCTTAGAGTGGTACCTTAGTGAAGCATAGGCACACAGCTATGTCTGTATATGATAGATTACAAAAAGTAAATTCATGTACTTCAAGAATATTTAAAGAAAATTATCATCATCAGTATTGTACAATCATGAACACACATTATTTCACATAGACCAACTTTTATCAATTTATATATATTATTAATATAATTCGATGGGGTTCATAATTCAAAGAAAGTTGGATTTGAATAACGTATTTTTGCAGGCTGAACCATTTAGACCTAACTGATTCTAGTGACCCACCCAAGAACCACTCATAATCCAATCTGAGCAATTATTCTTTTGTGGACCATTAGGTTCTGTTTTTTTTTTTTTTTTTTTTTTTGGGCATTCTGGCGAGCTCAAGTGACCTTATTGTGTTTGGTGTGTATGAATGGAATGAAATATCTATTTCAACCACTTATTTGTTTAGTATGCAATTTAAAGTGGGAATGGCCATTCCATTAAAATGGAAATTCATTATAGAGAATAAAAATCAATTCCATAACTAAATCTATGAAATAGTCATTCTATTCCCAAGTAGATATTTTTTAAAAAAATCAAATTCTCAAAAAACCCTCATATTTCAGGTACAAAATCCACCATAACCACCACCGCCTTTCACCATCACCGCCTCCATTGCCTTACACCACCGCTGTTGCCGCTTTCAACCACCACACCACCATCTCCACTATCTTCCACCACCTCCACCGTCACCACCACCAGTACAGACTTCCAACATTGTCACCACCTTCCACCACTATCACATTCGACCATCGCCGCCGCCACCAGCTAGCAGTGACTTCCTGCACTGCCATTGCCACTGTCTTCCACCACTACCACTTTATACCATGTACCGCCACCTCCATTACCTTCCACCACTGTCACCATTATTGCCATAACTATACTACCGCCATCACCACTACCGCTTTCCACTACCGCCACCTCCGTTGCTTTCCAACACTGCCATGCCACTTCCATCAATACCACCACCACCTCCATCACTGCCACTGCCACCACTATCACCGCCTCCCATCACCACCACACTCCACCACCTACACCACTATCGCCTTCCACCATCATCGCCACACTACTGCCATCATCACCTATATCATTGACGCATTCCACCACTACCACCACTGTTTCTACCACCGCCTTCCACCAACATTACTGCTACATTTCACCTCTGTAATACCCCTAATTTTAAAATGATAGTCTCGGTATTTATTTATTTGTTTTAATTGTATTTTTAATTATTTAATTGATTATTTAACTAATTGTTTATGTGCTTAATTGAATTAGGTATTACTTAATTATTTAATTATGTGTCTATGTATTATTTGTATTTGTCTATGTGTTAATTGTTTAATTAGATTATGTGCTTAAATGGTGTTTTGATTAATTGTAAATTATTGTTTTCTTTTCTTTTATTATTTTATTTTATTTTTTCTTTTATGGTTATAATTAGTAGTAATGGACCAACCAATTGGGTCACATGGACTACTTGGATAGGAGATTGGATGTGTATGGATTACTACCCATGGATAGTTATGTATGTATATATATAGATATATATTATATACATATATAAAAAGGAAAGTAATTTATTAATTACTTTTATGGTAACTTGGGTAGTAATATTTAATCTGATGTATATGTTTTATATTTAAATAATAAAAATATACATAGATTTGATACGCGTTATGTTTTAAGTTACTTTATAATATTATGGTAACTTAAGTATTATTGAATAATTCATTAATAAATAATGGAATGTGTATAATTTATTTATTTAATAAACATATACATAAATTATATACTTAACATATTTTAATTACCTTTTTAATATTTTAATATTTATTTTTTTTAAGTTGACTTGGATTGGGAAAAGGGTTAGGGTTATTTTATTTAACCTATAAATATATAGGTATAGGTTGTAAAAGGGGGTTAGAAATATTCACGTGATATATTCTAGAGAGAGAGAGTTAGAGAAGGAAGGAGAAAAACCCTGTAGAGAGAAGTTCAAGGAAGGAGAAGTTTAACTTTCGATTCGAAAGTTTAAGGCAAGTTCTTCTTCTATCTCTTTCCCTTTGATTCGTGTTTCTATGCATGCCTAGGAAATTCCAGGATTTATTAAACACATAAAATTAAATAATTATGTATGTTTAATTGGATTAGAACATAGGTTTTATGAAATTGGTTCATATCTGTTCTTGTGTTATGAATTGATAAATGCATGATTTTGATGTGATTTCCGGTGTGAATTTTTATATGTTTACATTATGTATTTTTCATATCTGTGAAATGATGGAACGTAGAAACATGGTTAGGATTCCTGAACATTAAATGGGAACTAGATTTGGGTTTAAATAAATTTAAATAAACTCAATCATGATGTTGCTTGCTATTTGAATGTTTTAAACAAACGAATGAATTTAATCTTTTAATATGTTTTAGCAATTGAGATTAAATGTGTAGGATGAATTGGATATGGAGAATACTTATTTGACGGTATAATAAAATATCATCATATGTATAAAAATCAATTTATGTAGGACATATGATAGAGGAAGCTTAAATAAATAATAAGTCATTACTATTTTGTGATAACTTGATATCATATTATCATAGTTATTTTCGGATTGTTTGATGTATTTCTTTAATCGTTACATTAATTGTTGGATTGTGTGGTTTAATGCACCGGTATGGGACGGTGGCATTTTAGGGACGGATTAACTTATCAGTTAAGTCCTACCTATTTTATATAAGGGAATGGATTAACTAAAATGTTAAGTCCTACTTATATTCAAGTCAGGTCAGCTGAACAAGTTGAATGATTTATGGAGGATTAATTTATACTGAATAGGATGGTTACTAGATTTTATATATATAAGTATGGTGCCATGATATGAGCTTGAGTCTCAAGATCAGTGGTTAGGTTGCGTATATCGCCAGGGATGTGTAACTAGATATAGTGTAGTTGTGTACCCTGGTAGGTCTAAATACTCATGCCCATTATATGTGCGTTTTGCATGTTGCCTACTATTCAGATTAAGACAACCCTATAGTCTAGTGAGGTTTCTTTAGTGTGTGTATATATATATATATATACGGACTACTAGTTATTGTTGGATTGACTAGGATGTATACGTGTATCGGATCTCTGCTTAGACTGTAGTGGAGTAGAACTTGTTTGTGAGTCTGACCCACCATTATTTTTCAGGTGTTCGTCAAGAGTAGAGGTTGTTCGTGCTGAGCGGGGATCAGTCTACTTCATTCTTCCTATGCTACATAGGAGTTCCTCTAATTTAGACAGTTATTGCTGTCATTTGTTTAGTTTGGATTTTCTAGGGGTCCACACAGTATGGATTCCCGAGTTATATTGTGGAGGATCAGTTGTATCAGAAGAGTTTATTAATTAATGGAAATACATTCTGATGTTTATTATTAGATTATCATTTTAGTTTCTTGTTAGCATTTTATTTATTCTTCTTTATTCTTTTGTACTCTGTGTTCGTTTATTGCCAATTTTATTTTTGATATTCTCGGGTATTCGAGCGTGGACCTGGCCAACCCGCATTCGGGAATCCGAGGGTATCACAGCCGCCGCCACCGCAGTTATTTCTTTAAAAAAAAATTATAGAAAATATTATTTTATTAATTTAATTTATTTGTCACTAAAAAAGGTAATTTGGAAATTCAATTTGAAATTCATTCCATTCTAAATTTCAAATTGGTATAACTAAGCTATAGAATGTTATTATCGTTTCATTCCTACATATTTCATATTTGTACCCAAACAATAGAATGAAAATAACCATTCACATTCTCATTCCATTCTCACTTGCATTTCATTTCATTTCATTTCAGCATACCAGACGCAACTATGATTTCCTAGAAAGTTAATTAACTTGCCTAATGGGTGAAAATAATTTTTTGCAAGGCATTACCAATTGGCCTAATTGGTAAAGTGTCCAACTTCCCGAACGAATGTATGCGTGTCTACTAGCAATCAAAAAGAATATGGAGGAATTTATAATCCTCTAAGTGAAAAATTAATGTCAATGCACTGAGATGAAATATTCAAAAGGGAACATGGAACTTTGATTTCATCGAACAATCAAATCTTAACTCATGCATTTAAGCCATGTATACATATACATGTATTTGAATTAAATGTCATGTAATTTTTTTTTTTTTGTAAAGATAATTTACGCGAGAATATTTAATTGATTAGTGATAATAAATGTGTGTTTAACAACGTAGTATCACAATACTATGTAGTTTTCTTCTCCCAAAGCCTCTTCTTTTATTTTATTATTTTACCGTAGTTCTCCTTGAGACTCTCTCCTATTATTCTATTACACCTTTTATTTACTTCATACTGCACATTTTAACCCCAAACATTATATATACATTTCTATATATATGTATATTAAGAGGACACAGGATACTCAATTCAATGTTGCTGCAACGAGTTACAATGATAGCCTCTTTGATTGTATTTTCATTTTTCGGTCTTTTCATTTGTTATTTTATTGTGACAAGAAATTCAAGCATTCACAATTTTTTTGTTTTCAATGAGACTTAAATTCTTGACAATTTATTTATTATTATTTATTTTTTATTTTTTAAAAAGAAATCACTAACTACACAGAATGATTTATTTTTATTTAATAAAGTACCCCCTTCATTTGACTGTTGATTTTTCCAAGCCTGACATCTACTCATTGCAAGCAAGTTGTCGACATGTCGGCAAGTAATAAGAGAAAAAAATAAAGAGCTAGCAGTGAAGTGAAAACGATAGAGACCCCAACCACATTTATTTATTGTATGTATTGTAAGTAATTGTATGTATATATATATATGTCTGTCCTTTCATTTCAGCTATTTTTTTTCATTAACTACTTCGACAATGATTTACTATTGAGATACGTATACTGTTTACATGTACGTTAACCTTCATGACTCGACTCAATAATAGAGGTATGCAGTAAAAGTTTTATCACAAATCTGGCTCCGCCATGCGTTGAAAGTTGAACTCCTTATGAGCAGCTGCTAGCTACTCTCAGAATAAATTCCCCTATTGAACACTCTACTTTTTATATATTATTTAAAAATTAATTAATTAGTCCTTCAATATTTTCCAAGTTTTTATTTTTTATTTTTTATTATTACTTAGATTTCACAAAATAAGTGTAAAATTTTAAAAATAAATGTAAATATGTAAAACACTTACCTCCTTGTTCTACACTACTGTATAAATTACTACTTTCACTATTATTTTGCTTAATAATTGATATACCAAAGTCTAGACACATCTGACAACAACATTTACATTAGTGATTGATTAGGTCAAAATGATGGTTGATGTCATGATGACATTGCTCTTTATTTACGTAAAAAAGTTAGATATTTTTTACTGTAGAACTTTATTATTTTTCTTAAAAAAATATATTTTGTAAATAAAGTACGTTCCATTTGATGATTACACATATTTGAAACTCAAAAGAGGTATAATAACTGATTTTAAGATCGATGAGGTATAATATTTAATATTTGATTATTCTCAAACCTTGCAATGACGAGACTAACCTTACGCTGCAGTGAGAAATGGATGAGAAAACACCCTTCATTAATTTTCTTGATGACATATCAATATTATATATAAGGGCAGTGTCCTAGTCACCATACTTTTCTTTGTGGCCCTATTTAATACACTTGTGTCTTTTGCTTTTCATTCCTTCTTCATTCACTGAATGCTCTTTGCCCCATACTCTCTCTCTCTCTCTCTCTCTCTCTCTCATCTTTCCTTACCTTTTGACACTGATTGTGCAGGTTACTATCTGTCTATCTCCTGCAGCTAGGGTTTCCTCTTTGAACTCAACCTAACAATAAAAATCCAAGGAATTCACATCTAGTGATTGCTGCAGTGTTTTTCTCCTTGGGAGAATCAAAGAACAAGCACTCAAAGAGTTCACACTGGGAAAGAAAAAGGTACTGATCAAAGAAACCTAGCTAGATCATAAAGAAAAGGTAATTAAGTACATTCATATATTGCTTTTCCTGTTTACCTATTCTCTGATTTCTGTTTGTAGGATATTTGAACTGATCATGTAATCCTGGTTGATTTTAGGTTGCAGGCCTTGATCCAGGGTTTTACCCTATGAACTTATATATAGAGTAGGTAGAATTGTACATATATATATATAGTACTATATTCTATTCATATTAAAAAATAAAGAAAATTGAGACTGCACCAGTGAGAAAGCATGCTTCACTAACTACAAAAAGAATGATCTGCTTGGACTTATAGTGGGTACTGTCTAAGAGATGAATTATGATAATTTACCAATATAGACGAAAAATCACTTCTAATATGTGTGTGTGTACGTGTGTGTGTGTGTGTGTGTGTGTGACTGTGTGAGAGAGGGGGAAAGTACTACATGATCAAAATGAAGGAATCCTTGAACAAAAGGAAGCTTTTCTTTACCCAGAATTTGGCTTGCTATAGCAATCAAATTGACGAGTAACATATGGTGGCTAAGTGATGGGATCGATTTCGTAAGTATGTGAGTTTATGTGTTCTTTTCCCCTGAATAATGGGCTGTTGCATACAACAAATTAAATTCCAAATTACCTTGTCCTGTGTGGATCGATCTAATCCAACTTCTGGGCCATTATGGGGTTTCAGAAAATATATGTTAAAGCTCTAACACACCATATGATGCTAACCCTAATCAATCTTAAAGCCTCGGTACTCAATAAAGCCTTTGATTCCACTGAGATCATTTGAGGATTAACTACATCAATTTTCTTTTACCATTTTCTTCTCCTTGATTTTTTAAATTTTATTTTATTGGTTGTAGATAGACTTTCCATATGATGCTTGCTCTTTACTAATGTAGTTACCATCCTTATTTCGTTTTTATTTTTATTTCTTTCAGTTAGTACCATCCTTAATTTGTTGTACATGAGCTTAATTTGTTGTACATGAGCAAACAATATGAATCTTCAGCATTCTCATTCCCTGTATGTTCATCGATCAATATTAATATGTTATTAAAATAAATAAATAAATAATTATTATTATTATTTTTTTGAAAGCTAGGGAAATGAATTTAGATTTTGTGTCAAGTGAAACTAGCTCAACATGATCAATTATATGTCTTTTCTTTAAATTGATGAATATGACTTCATTAATTTTTACAAGCAATTATTACACTTTCATACACATATGTGTGTGTGTGTGTGTCTTGTTTGACGTTCAGAAAAAAAGAAGAAGAAGATATATATAATGATTTCACAGTTAATACATTCTGCAGCAAAGATGGCTTCTTCCAGCCATTCCAGCTCCCCATGTGCTGCCTGCAAATTCCTAAGGCGAAAATGCTTGTCAGGTTGCGTATTTGCACCATATTTTCCACCTGAGGAACCACAAAAATTTGCTAATGTTCACAAAATATTCGGTGCAAGCAACGTTAGTAAACTCCTTAATGAGATCCTCCCCCACCAAAGAGAAGATGCAGTGAACTCTCTTGCTTATGAAGCCGAGGCACGGATGAAAGACCCGGTGTATGGTTGTGTTGGCGCGATCTCGGTCCTCCAAAGGCAAGTTCTCCGACTTCAGAAAGAATTAGAGGCCACAAATGCCGAGCTGATTCGCTACACCTGCAATGACATTCCTATCCAGTTTCCTGCTGGAAGAAGGATGGGTCATGATCAAGGAGGCTCTTTTGATCACAATTCTGGATATTCTCTTCCTTATAGCTCTCAATGGAATAATAATCCTTCAGAAGATAACTCTGAGGGAGGAGGAGAAGGTGACATGTAACATCAATCACACATATATATATATATACATATTTATATATATATGTGTGTGTGCATTAATATTTGGATATAGCCTTGTGGGGTTGAGTGTTCTATCTACTTTGTAAAACTGTTGTATATTCATTAATTGTTATGAGTCATGAGAAGGCCCATCTAGCTAGGGTTCCATTTCTAAGGATATGTGTTTTCGTGGTATGATTTGGTATGCTATTCTGTAAATAGGTTTCTGAATTAGGTCAGTAAATGGTAATAGATTTCTTTTTATCAGAGACAATGATATATGAACTTTTCTAATCTGCGGTTGGTTGTATATATAGTTAATTATCTGCTTTATTGATCCTTTTGATGTCTGTCTAATGCATTTCAAAGGCATGACATTTGAAAGTCAAATTCTATTTGTTGGTCTGTGTGCCAGGAAAGTCGTCCTAGCTAGCTAAATGATAATTTTTGTTCCAAGAAAAAATATCATCTTTGCCAGTAGTGGCTCATATCAACCATGTCTTACGCTTTTTTTGTCCCGAGTATTGGGAAAATGGATGAAAAGGAAGGATAAAGATCCCTTCCCGAAAAGTGTCTTTCTTATTTTTCGTTTGGTTGAATGAAAAGTTGGTCTGAAAAAATTAATGGATGACTTTTTTTTAATGAAAAGAAAGGAAATAAGAGTTTGGTTGAATATTGAAAGGCATGCTTGAAAAAATTGATGGAGTGACATTTTTTTAATGAAAAGAAAGAAAATAAAAGTTTTTATATACTTTTACCAATATATCTTCATTAATTAAGTTGATTGGTGAGTTTTTAGGCTCGAGTCCATAATTTATAACCTATACGATGGCAAGTATAAATTTACTAGTACTCTCTATGCTGTTCGAAATAGGGTGAGCATAATTCTTAGATTTGCTTAGGCAGATTGGACAAAACTCACGAGGTGGGATTAAAATAGATGAAGATTAAAAAAAGTCATTTTGTAATTAGACGAGGGTTAAAATAAGTATTACATGGTCATCTTTCTTTCTTTCCCTACTATCTTCCCCCAATTTAGGGTCGTCGGGGTTAGAAGGGATGTTTCATCCCTCTTTGTTTTCTTCCTCTCTTTTAGATTTCATCCCTCCTTAATCATTCCTTCTAACCAAACGAGCATTAATAACTTTAGTTTGTGCTTCAGAATTCAATATTTTGCACTATTCATGACGAGAGACAGGCAAATTAATCACAAAAAGCTACTAACAATTCATCAAAAGACTCATTTGTTGTTGATTGAACCGGTTTGTTTATCTAATTTTTTCAAGAATCATATCTTATGAAACTTTTAAAATTTAGATTCATCATATGCAGTTTAAAGCTTATACTATGACTACCAAACTTGTTCAACGGTCCATGGTAGTGCACAAGCCACTCATCCAAATATATATAATCTAAAGCTGGGCTTGGTGGGTTGGTTAAACTGTTGATATCCAAAACAAAAACTCTATTTTAACAAACAAACCTTCCATTATTTAATTAGTATCACTATCATATATATTGAGTAAATCGCTTTGGAATATTGCACTCTCTTCCCTTGTGCATTCATGAATTTTGTTTATGTTTTTATTTTTATTGAGTCGTATTTTTCAAGCAGATTTCAGCTTGAGTTGCCAAGTGCATGGGTGACAGTTACCACCATAACTCAATAGATTAGTGTTTTTTGTGAACTTTTGTTATAAGGAGTCATTTGTCCCACGTCGGATTCGGACGAAAAAGTGATTGTGTATAAATGGATAGGTATGCAGCACTACTTAACAACTTGAACTTTTGGATAAATGGGCAAGCGTTCATACTTTACCGTTGATATCAGAATCAGACCCAATCCTTAATTCGGTGCTATGCCAAGCGTCCAGCCCGAAAGGTTTACTCGAATGTTACAAGGGGTCATTTGTCTCACATCGGATCTGAATGGAAAAATAATTGGGAATAAACAACTTGCTTTTTTAAAAAAAAAAAAAAATTTAGACATTGCAAGGGCGGGGCCCACTGAATTGGTTGGTGGGCCCCACCCATACATTTCCACTTTAGACCAAATTTTCAAATTATGTAATTGATAAATTGAAGTGTGAGTTCATCCTTTATAAAAAATAAATATAAATTTCATTCCATTAGTCAAGTCAGTTTGAAAAATCGATTAAAAAATCAATTTCCTTAATTTATGGAGGGAACGTCCTTAGAAGAACACATCCCTGACGAATCGTTAAAAAGGGTGACCCTGTGGAGTTTTCCAAACACTAACACATGCAATGCATATTCTTCATTAACAAAGCTATCCAAAACATTAAAAAAAACACAATAACACACATTCACATTCAATGTATACTACAAGTGTGAACAAAAGAAAAATTTGTTACTTAGATTCCTTAATTAGAGCATTTGTGCAACATTGTCAAGCTCTAGTTTTTTGTTCTTCAAGTCAAGGACTAGTGGTTAAAAGAAGTGGTGCTGACACTGTAAATTTGTTGACTTGTGATCTTTTTTACCTCTCTCTTGTGAACCTCTGGAGTCTGGGCCTCTTCATAAAATTGTTGTCTTTGTCTTGAACAGTTAAGTTGTACAGATGCCTAGTTGTAGGATCCAGAAAAGGGATTGTTTACCCATGTGAAGGTATGTGCCCCTACAGAAGAATTATTAATTGCAGTGTATCCATCATAATTGGATTTCTCACACACACACACACACACAAACACACACATATATGCACTCACCCACGAATTAAACCAAAAGGAGTCTGTGGCATATCCTTGATTTGGAATAAACAGGAAGTATATTGTTCGGTGCAAGACTGCATGTATTCGTCGATAAATTATAAAATGTAGGTCTGACACCACCATTATGAACAAAAAAGGGTAAATTACCCCGAACATTTTCAAATTTGGGCACATTTCTTTAATTTGGTTGATTTGAGTTGGGAAGTAATGAGAACAAAAACTTACAAAGTTACAGTACTTACCAATGAATCACTTCTGGTTCTGGCTTTGTACTCTTTATCACGTGAGCAACTGAGCATGTTCTATACTGTATTTTCTCACCATATTTTTCAGACACATCTTTTCTCTTTTTGATTGATTATGGTACATAGTACAGGTTGAGAGTCGAGAGTGAACAACAAAATAAAAACAAACGCTGGTACAATTGGATCTAAGAGGCATAGGATTGGACTGTTTACAAGTGGAGGAATGAGTAATTCCATTTTATAGCCCATTTTACCATTATTGGACTGGAAAAAGAAAAATGGTACTATGCTGCCTTCCATAAATTTCACGTGTAAGGTCGACATAGACGACTGGAATTCTGTGCTGCACTGCATTTGTGTTGTATAACAACAACGATTTGGATCACGAGAATCTAGACCGTTCGTGTTGTAATACAAAAAAGAATTTAGGTTGACAAAATTATTTATTTATTTATTCTTTTCGTGACGATGTGATAACGCATTATTTTCTATTTCTACTAAAGTTGATTTAATTTTGCTAATTAGCCACGAAAGTTGTTTAAATAAACAGGATTGTTAAAAAAAGAGAAATATATGATATCTTAAAATTATTATTCCCTTTTTTCAAATGAAGTTGTACTTGGACAGTATCTACCCAATAAACTTCTTTCACAAAATAGTTGTACAAACGCACAATTGAAAACCTTCTTCCACGCGTAGTTATTATTATTTATTCAATTTACCTACTTAATTGACTATTTAGTTATATTTTCTTACATGAATGCATCCCATGGCCCACCATTTTCGGTGAAATGGTGAGACATAACTCATTTAACAAAAAAAAAAAAAAAAAAAAAACAAAAAACAAACAATATTTAAGCCTACCAATCTAACCTATTAACTTAGATTACATAAATGTCGGACCATGTCTAGTCTCTTTTGAATGCATCCCACCCATGGAATGCACTCCGCCCAATGGTGGTTTTGTGTAGCATACTTCTTTTCACAAGGAAAATAACACTTGAACCTAACAGTTTAGCGTGTTATCTTGGTTAAAAGTTTTTGAGTCACATAAATTACATAAATGTCGGATCATGTCTATTCTCCTTTGAATGCACTCCACCCACCATTTCAATTAGTTTTGTGTGGCATACTTCTTCTCACAAGAAAAAATACACTTAAACCTAACAATTTAGCATGTTACCTTAGCTAAAAGTTCCCGAATCACATAAATGTAGGATCATGTTTTGTCCCACATGAATGCATTCAAGCATCAGATACAATATGCTCGGATTTGTGTAGCACAACGCACACTTCTAAAAGAGGTGTTAAAAGGAAGGGGTTAAAGTGACAATAAATAGGGAAAAAATAGAAAATAAAAATTATTGGAGTGTGAAATAGACATCAAAATATGCTGTGTGTCTCTCTTTCTCATGCAAAAACAATGCACGCGTGAATACTCTCGTCAAAGTGTGGAAAAAAGTTTGAAGCGCTATTTGAAAGATCCTCATCTTATTCTCTGAGTCTGCCATTCCAAGAATGGGTCACATCCATCGCTGTCTGGATATGTGGCCCAACACAACCGCCCAAAATGTCACCTCTTCAAAGCCCACTTACAAAGTACTCATCCCACTGACTGATTGATTTAGACGGGCTCAAGCCCTAGCCTGTGAGCTTCCACCATAGTTCCAAAAGGATAAACTAGATTGAGAAAAGTAAAAAGTGTGTCCACGATTTGTCCGATTGCATTCGTTGAATAATGTAAGTTTTATACGCTCTCAAGTCACGTCAGTTATATTTAAGAATGACTATCTAAATTTGTAACCGAAAGTTTTGTAGTCCTGAATTACATGAGTGCAGAATCATGTTTGGTCCCACATAAAATGCATTCCATGCGTGGAATGCATCCGGAACTTGTAACATAAGAAAGAAAATTTGTGATAGTCACAGCCCTCACAACCATGTTGGCTTTGTTGTATCTCAATCATGAATTGTCATGACTATTGATATTCACTATGATATCTTGTTGAATTATGAAACAAATTTGGTTGGATAAATGAGATGTTATCATCAAATTTGTGACTAATATATATAGTTCAACCAAAAATAAGTAATAAAAAGATAGGAAATCCTTCAGATCACTAATCTACATTCATGCATGTTCTATGCATAGATTATAAAATCTTAATTAGTTCCCTCCCAAAATGCGCGCCATGTCACTCATATCACAACGTAGTGTATTTTTAAAAAAAATATTAATATAATCTAAACACAAACAACCAGATTTATACAACTTATATATACATGAAATTAAATACCCCCTAAACTTCTGTGTTGCTTAACTTGCTTGTATATATGGTGTGAATGTTACTATACTCCATACAAGTTAATAATTAAGAGACTCTTAAAGAGGAAGTTAAATCACATTATTCATAAAATAAACTTTCAACGCACTAAAAATATATATATATATATATATATATATATATATATATAGGTAAATTTGGGGATAGATAAGTAAGTAAATAAATAAAATTGACATCAACAGTACAATGAACAATTAAACTTTAAAAGGAAAAAAAACAACTAAACTTGAAAAAAATATATATATATATATTATTTATGTCCGTAAAATATTGCTATAGGTATAGTCTGATATATCGAAATTGCGTCATTTTAGTTTATTGATTTAGACGATTGATCTCAACCCATGTGGAGCTTCTACCAAGGACCCAAAAATATAATTAGAGGAAAGTGAATACTTAATTATTTGAGTGTGTTCGATTTGTCACTTTAAAAAACAGTTTTATGAAAATAATTTTTTTTTACATTGAATTTTTTTAAAAATTCAATAATAGTTGAACTCAGCTGAATAATCCAGTTTTATGCGACGTTAAAGAAACGTTAGTATTACCTAACAATTGAAACGAGTTAAATAATGCAGGTTTTTATACAAAGACAAAGCGACATCAGTATTGACTAACAGTTGATAGCGACTGTCGGTAACTTAAAAAGAAGCATATTTACGAGAAAGAAAAGCAGTAATAGTCACAGTCACAACTGTGTGATAACTTTGATGTCGCATTCATGAATTGCCATGACTATGATGTCTTGTTAAATTATGAAATAGACCTCCTTAATTGGGTCAATGTGATGTTTTCCACCTGTGACTAACATAATTCAACCAAAAATATATATAAAAATTCTTAAAATCTCTAAACTACATTCATACATATTCTATGTGTGTGTATGTATATATATATATATATATATTAGACTTCTATACATGGTTTGCAGATGTGCGACGTATCAGTCGATATGCGATTCTTTTTTAAATCTGATACGCGATTATATTTTGTCAGTTTATACTGATTTTGTCTGAAATTGTTACACCGCTACCGCGACTGGTACTGTAATTGTGACCGTAAATGCGAACCATACTTCTTTGTAGTATTTAAAACAATCACAGCATCGTTTAACATCCATACAAATTGTCTTAACAACCTCATGTGAATACATACATATTTTTTGTAGGATTGTAAAGGGCTTCATACTTTTTGCTTTTGCCAATATATTATAGTGAAGTGTTTAATAACGTTTGTTGTAATTTAAATAGTATCGAAGCGCTTCCGAAAAAGAAGCCAAAATTGAAAGCAAAATTATGATACTTTTGGTTGCCAAAAAATAAAAAATTGTAGAATGACATTTTTAAACTAGTCATTTAATTTTTAAAACTTGCCACACTTTTTTATCATATACTTTCATGATTTGGTTTCCAAAAATCTTGCAACAAACACACATACGTTACCAAACAGACTTTCAAATAATATTGAACACAGTTTAAAACAGAAACATTACTTCTGGTTTTGATCAAATCAAAAACACAAAACAATTGTGTTTGCCAAACAGATCTTAACGAGTCAAATTTATTCAAATTTTTACTTGCGTGTCAAGATATGATTGATAGAGACCGTAATAACGTTCACAATTCACAAGGTACCGCAAGCCCATGCACTACAACCTTTGGCCCATGTGTGGGAATGGTTAAAAGAAATTCTTTCCCAGCCCAATTCCAACCCCAACCTTTTCTTTATGGTAATTGGTGGGCTCTCTTTTACCTTTCACAAAAATCCAGCTTCTAAGTTCTAACACTTACTTCCCTCTCAAAATGCCATGTTAACACTCGTATCATTGTGCTACGTAGTGTATTTTTTTTTAATTAGTAATGTTTATTTTTTCTTAAGTTATTAATATAATTTTAACCACAAACAACCGGCCTATACATGAAATTTGACATGTGGCGGATCAATATAATTATGTAGGGCCATTTTCTCAATAGAATAGTCCAAATTGAATTCATCCACCAAGGATTCATGAACTTGAACCATTTAATAATTTCTCTAAACTTCTGTATTATATTTCAGATCATTTAAATGAATTACATACTCTTAATTGGAAAATCCGTCACATTGTTCCTAAAAATTATAATGCATCAAAAAAATTAATTGATAAATAACTTTGGGGATAGATAAGTAAATGAATAAAATTGACATCACATTACAATGAACAACTAAAGTTTTAAACCTTAAGAGGGAAAAAATGCAACCGCCAAACTGTTAAAAAATATTATTTCTATTCATGAAAATGCGTTAGGCACGGGGCAATACACTAAAATTACGGAAAAATATTCACTACCCTGAGAATAGTAATTATTATTATTATTTTTAAGGGAATAGCAATTATTGAATACCCTCATTTCAATAATTACTACCTCCAAAGTACCAATATTTATTTATTTATTTTTTTTCGTTATAAAATTTAATGCTATTGTAATCTTGGGCGTATTCTTAAATCGTTGAAGGATATAGGTCCAATGAAAGATCTGTCACGCTATTGTAATTTTGGGCTTATTATTCAGTTTTTGAAGAATATAGGCCCAATTAAAGAACTGTAAACAATCGTGCACGGTTAAAGTCCAGGTAGTGAAAACAAACTCGTTATGACTTTGCGAGGATGCGATTTCTTATTGGGTCATACTTGCAAGCTATTGGGTTTCACATTTACGAACTAGACTGCGCCTGCTTAGTTTAGTCCACAATGGGCCCATCCCTCAATATATTATTTGCCAAGATGGCGATTAAGGCGGTAAATAAGAGTGAAAAGAAAATAAAAAAAAACATTAGTTATTTACTTAGAGAGAAAAAAAAAAAAAAAAACATATGTTGGATAAATTCGGAGGGCAAATTTATATAAAGAGGTTTTTTCATAATTTTAGTTGGGGGCAATTTTAAAATTTTATCTGTATAAATGCAAAAATGTACAAATTTAGGGATATAAAATGCCCCCATTAAACTCACAAATTTTACTTAATTCACTTAAAAAAAATTAAATTTATGTCCATAGATTATGGTAAGTTCACATTATAAAAAAAATGACACACGATACTGGGAGTTTAAAATAAAATATATATTCTCGCAGGCAATATAACAAATACAGAATATACGAAACCTTAGTGTATAAATAATATCAAAATTAAAATTATGATAATAATAAGAAAAATGATATTTAGACCAAATAGATTAAAAATTAAGTATTCATGTTTTAACGTGCATCAAACGACACCGTTCCGTATTCATGTTTGAACTAGACTGGGCCTGCTTAGTATAGTCCACGATGGCCCCATAAAAGAAGTTGCTAGCGTAGTCTTAACGTGCATCAAACGACACCGTTGCGAAGTGGGAAACACTTCCCCTCTAATGACCTCACCATTATCGTTTACTTTGCTGCGAAGACATCTCGCAACTTCAAACAAAAATGAATCCAAATACAAGAACATAAATAAGTCTCATCTCTCTCTCAATCTACATATATCTATATCTATATAAGTTTCTCTGGTTATAGGTACTGAATTTGTGGAGAATTCGGAGCTCGATGAATACGTCGCAGTTCATGGACAAGCAAATCATGGATCTACAGAGCAAAACTGACTTCATCGATCTCATGAACCCTCAGGAAGACCACATCGGTGGTGGTGGTAAAAAGGAAGAGATCTTAGCGAGTTATGATTTTCAACCAATTCGTCCCGTATCGCAGCCGTCCAATCTCGATTCGAGCGGTTTTGGGGGAGCTAGGGTTTGGAACTCGGCCGATTCGAAGACCAATGTTACTGGAGTTGGCATCAGAGTGAGATTTCTCTCTATCTATCAGTATGCAATTAAACCTATTTATATATATAAGTAATATATGTAAGAGCTCGCTAGTGATTTTTTTAGGATTTATCGGTGATTTGAGAGGTTCTGTTTCTGGTGTTGATAATTTATGGCTTAGATGTAAATTTTGATGAGTGAATTGCTTATGCTACGTTATATTTCCTCTTTCACGTGTTAAAATTGAACTCTTTTCGACTCCTAGGTATTTGTTTTGATTTGATACAGTTGCTGGTTTTGGGTTATATAAGTACTAAAGAATGCCCAGAAAGTTAAGATAGTTTCATATCTGAAATATACCAGATGACTTGATTCTAATTTTAAAATAATATAACTAAGCAATCCCAGTGGGGCAATTATGTGGAGAGGTTGTGCTGAAACTACACACGTGCATGGCTATGGTTTAGGGATACTTGGTACAGATGTTGTGCCCATAAATTTATCCGTACAACATGGTTGTAATATTCCTGCCAAATTTTGGTTGTGGATTCGGAAGATTTTAAGAGGAGGAGGAAAGTCGGTATAATAATATTATTATTTTTACTCATATATGAAATGATAATTTTGTTTAGGAGTAATTAAATCTGTTGGTTTCTTTTTGCAATGGGTTACTCATTTAGTAACAGGTCGAGTTTGAATGTGATGCCAATTTCCTATCATAATTACTGCTATTTATATACGATGTGCCTGTTAGAAGTATGATTCTAGATTTCTGCTTATGTACTACCTTTCAAGTCGTCCTCCTTTTTGGACCTCTGATTGGAACAAGAAATTTGATTGTTCTCTACAACAACAACAATCAAGCCTTTTTCCCAAGTACTTGGGGTCAGCTACATGAATCTTATGTTTCCATTCCCTTCTAATTAAGACCGTAGCTTCAGTCAGTCCACATGCTATCATATCCTTCCTTTTTAATCATACTCTCATTAACTTTGGTCTTCCTCTTCCCCTAGTATCACCCTCAATGTGGGCTATGTTAATTTTCCTAATTTACGTACTTAAAGGTCTTTTTTGCAAATGTCCAAACCATCTTAACCAGTTCTCTCATCTTATCTCCAAATTGTGCTACTTCAACATCTCCAAGGTTGTTTGAATCGGGATTCTACGTAGAATCAGATCGTGAATCGTAAGATTCTACCAACTTTTAAACAAACAATTCAAACTAACTTCTTCAGCACTAATATGTGTAAAATATAGAGAGAATAAGGCCTAAACACAAAATAAATTGTATACAAGTGTTAATCCAAAGTCAGAATATAATACAGAACAGACTTATGAAAAAACAAGAATATAATATAAAACAGAAATCAGAATGGAAAAATAATTCCAACCAAAATCACTACTGGCCCACTGCGCCAAAACTTCAACTAGAAAGAAAAGTATTAAGCTATTTAGAAGCTCCAACTTTAATAGAATCCAATTTGGATGAGCGTCAGTAGTTTAGAATTAGACTAAAGACACAAAAGTAAATAAGAAAGAGTGGAAAACATATCATAGACCCATGAAGACTCCACTGATCTCTATTTTTTTTTTTTTCTGAAATTATCTCGCCATTCTCTTTTTTCTTTTTCTTTTTCTTTTTTATTCTCTTAGTTGATATTCACACACGTCTCTTCTGAGACTTGAAGCCTTGACCTCCCTTTGGGAAGTAAGAGGCCGATACCGCTAGGCCACTGGCCTGTTGATATCTCACCGTTCCTTTACAATACTTGGGGAGTAACATTCTAACATCCCAACCCCATGGTCAAGTTCAAGATAGAGTGCTCAATATGATTGCGGACTTCTATCAAACACCTAGAGTGCTACCCAATAAAAAAAAAAAAAAACAAAGAAAAGTTGAGGAAAGTTCGAAGTTCAAAACTTCAAACACAATAACACACCTTGTTTAAACTTAAGAGTTTAGAAAGATGTGAGTAGGAAGCAAGGAGCTGTTGAAGGCTTTTGCGAGGTTGAATGGTTGAAGAATTGGCGTTGTTGGAGACTCAGGACTTTCGCAAAGAGAAGCCGTCTGCCCTAAGAAGCACGGACAAGGATACGACACGACACGGACACGGCAGATCCAAAAAAATTAGGACACGGACACTGCGAATAGTGTGTGTATATATATATATATATATATATATATATATATACATATATGATGTAGTACTTTAAAAATTATTGAGTATTATTATTTTTCATCAACCTCACAATGAAAAAAAACACAAATCATAACTTATAACTAGGGATGGCAATTTCCTCCAACCCGTTAGGTTTCCGCCCCGTTCCGCTCCTAATGGGGCAGATTTGGTAGCTCCATAAATGGGTTTGGGACGGATATAGTAAAAGAATTGAAAACCCGAAGCGGGTTTGGGGCGGGGGCGGATGTAGTGATGCCCCCACCCCACCCCACCCCACCCCACCCTAGCCCCAACCCCAACCCCGATTATATATATATATATATATATATATATATATATATATATATATATAAAGTATATATTTAATTTAAGTGTCCATTAATATATTTTGATTAAATATTCGCTAGAATCACTACTTACTAAAATTCTACAATTGTGCACGTGATTCAATTTTCAAAGATTCAAAATCTTAGTATTCTATCCCAAGTCCAGGAATTAATTCAACAGTTTTAACTTTACCGCAATTAAATGGAGTATGCAGGGCGGAGTTGGTATTTTGTCTACTGGAGTAGGGGCGGGGATGGTATACCAATTATAAACCCGTCTCGGAGTTGGAGCGGAGTTGGTATGACGAATTTTTTAATGGGGCGGAGTAGGGTTTAGCCAACTTCATCCCAACTCCGCCCCATTGCCATCTCTACTTATAACTAATGAATTATAAAAGAACAATGTTGCATAGTTATAAAATCAAATAAAAATCAAGACATTAGAATAATAACTAGTATCATTTAATCATCATTGCAAGTTTACTCCAAATACAAAAATATAGACAGAAAGGACTATTAACATTCAGGACTTTACCATTAGCACTTAATATTCACAAAAACCTAAAGGCTAGTCCCCAAAAAAGATACAAAAACAAGTCAGTGTACTATCGTCTATTCCCATCCATCATTTGACCTAGGACTTTTACCATTTACAATACCAAAAGGGTAGTACAAAACAAAAAATAGAACATATCAGCATTAAAAAAAAAATTAAAAAATTCCAGAAAAGTGTGTCTAAACCGTGTCCGAGCCGTGTCTAAGTTGTCCGAGCCATGTCCGTGCCGTGTCCGAAAATTAAAAAAAATAAAAAAATTCCAGACACGTTTTTTGGTGTGTCCGACACGTGTCGGGGAGTGTCCGACTCGTGTCCGTGTCCGTCACGTGTCGGACACGGATTCTTCGCCCATTTTGGAATGTCCGTGCTTCCTAGCGTCTGCCCAAACACGAAGTCTGTTGTGTGATTTGTTTTTTTTTTTTTTAATCTTTATATGTAAGAGTTTGGGTCCAAAGTGTATTGGGCCTTTCTTATTTTGTAGCCCAATCCTCAAAAGAAGGAACCAACCCAGAAAAAAAGGACTCAAACAAGCAATTTAGTAGAATCGGTGGAATCGCATAGAAATGCAGAATCGTGCGATTCCACCGATTCTATCAAAGGAACGATTTTATTGCGATTTGGATCGATATTGGGGGCTGGAGTCGTAGAATTGTGCGATTCTACGACCCAAAGTCGCGATTTTAACAACCATGGCCATCTTCCGAATGTATCATTTCTAATTCTATTCTTTCTAGTCTTACTACATATTCATCTCAACATTCGCATTTCTGCCACCCTCACTATATGTGTATGATGTTTCCTAGCTGCCCAACATTTTGTGCCATAAGGTATGGCTGGTCTAGTTGTTGATAGAACTTTCTTTTCAATCATAACGAGATACGCCTATCACATAATATACTAGATGCACTCCTCCATTAACCCATCCTGCCTTGATTTTATGGTTAACCTCCTCTTCATGTTCTCCTTCATTTAGAATAATTGAGCATAGATAGAGAAAATGTTCAATTTTTTTTTTGTACCTCTTGATTCTCAATCCTCATTTGTATTTCTAGATTTACTAAAGTTACACCGCATATTTTTAGTTTTATTTTTACTTATCTTAAACCCTTTTAGTTCTAAAGCTTCTATCCAAATCTCCAATTTGGCTTTAACTCTTTTAGTCTTATCAACTAAAACAATTTCATCAACAAATAACATATACCATGCGATCTCTTCTTGGATGTGTCTTGTCTGCTCATCCATAGCCAAGGCAAATGTTATGGGCTTAATGCTGACCCTTGGTGTAAGCCTAAAGTAATTGGGGATTCACTTTTTTCCCCTACAGGCGTTCTAACTAACTGTCACACAACTGTCATACTTTCATGTTCACATTGGTCATGACAAATTTTTACGCTGGCTGTCAAGCTACCTAACACAACTCTTCTCCTTTATTCGGGCATGGGAACGGATGTATAAAGAACACAGGCAGAGTTGATTGTTCCATCTCTCTCTCTCTCTATATATATATATACATATATATATAGCCTTACAAAACCAATTGATACATTGTTTAATTTTGATTGAATAGTCTTTTAATATGTATATGCAGTTAAATGGGGTAAAAGTAATCTTGTTTTTGGTAGATGTTTATGTTCAGTTTCTTCTTTTGGCAATTAAATATGTTTGAAATACATGAAGTAGATTGTTTGAAGTGCCTTTGTTTTTGTTGTCCTTTGTACCCATCTATTGCACTTCATCTTAATTAAAAGTTTGAAGCTGGAGTACATATTCTTTAGATCACATTTTTAGTGAGATAAGAAGTCTACATGAGCAATCTCTGCTCTCCAACTCTTATACTTCTTTGTGCTCTTTCCTGGTAATGTCATAACATCAGTCAAAACTCTTTTAACACGATCTTCTGTGGTTCTTTAAGAATTTATATTATGGAATAGCTTCTCTTCTAAGAATAAAAAATGACAACTCATTGGGGAGAGAAAATGATGCATAAAAAGGAGAATATCCCCTTGAATAAGCAAGTGATTGCATAAAATGCACTAGGCTTAGATAATGATGCTAATATGACAACTCTTCAACACAGAGGTATGTCTAAAAAGCTTAGTCGGTTGTTTTTCTTTCTTTTTCTTTTAGGGGTGGGTGTGTTTGAGGGTTCTTCAGATTTCCTAATGGGAATTTCAATCCATAGATGTCCCTTTGGTTAAAGCAAAGTAAACTCTGCACTTCTTTAATATTAGTTAAGATCCTCGATGGACTGCTAGAATGGAGAGAGAATGACTCTTGAGTTTTGAATGCTGATGTGAACAAATCGTGTGATTGATGAGCCATCACTTCTTCTTGTGCGTCAATTATTGTGTTCAGTCATCTTTTCGGTAAAAACCATTTAATTCTCTGCTGTTTTCTTTCCCTTATATAAATGCCTACCTCTTTACTTATAAAAATAATAATATAAATGCCTACCTCTTCTTGATGCCTGCTTTCTACTTTCCAGCAAGAAAAAAAAAAAAGAAAAGAAAAAGAAATATTGTTTAGAAATGTTTTATGGTCCATGCCAACTCCCCATACTGTTTTGACTTGGATTCCTGTAGAGATTTATTACAATTCTTTTTGAGATAATTGAGAAAGAGGATTCAATTCATGCTCTATGTGAATGTTTTGCCTTCTATTTTTTTTTTTTTTTCGTTCTATTTCCGGAAAAGGAAAATCACCCTTGAAGTCAAGCTTTTATGTTGTGTAAAAGTAATACCATACGAGTTGTCTAACTATAGAGGTCTGCTAGTTGGTCCTTCTTTTATCTTTCGTGGTAAGTTAGTTGGCCTTTCAATTTAGCAGTTAATAGTTACAGTATTGTAGTTGCATTTCTTTTGTTTGATAAGTGTTTGCATTTGTTCAGATAATTTTTTATGATCGTGGAGATATTTCTATGTTGTAAATGTTAGACCTTGAGGCTTCTAAAAGTTAATGGTATTCCATTTGTTCTCTGTCAATGCATATGAAAATATTGATCCATATGGATTGTATTAAAACTTGCTCTTCATGTGAAGAGGATATAATTGGTCATTTTCTTTATACACTAAAAGAGGTTATGTGTGATTGAAGTTGCAATTTCTGATGATTATGTTGGAAACTTCAAGGAAACAGGGAGAGCAAGCGAAAGATTGAGTGTAGGGTAGGGTCTGGTCGAACTATTGTTTATTGCAATTTACAAAACCTCGAAGTGGTGGTTATTGAATATAGAACCAATGTGATTTTGGATTATCAAATCTGGGGGTTAATTAGTTTACTTTTAGATGAGAGTAATGCTCCTAAGAGAACCCTCTCATGAGAAGAGCCATGAGCTCTCCCTTTTTAACTCCTGAATTGAATTTCGACTTTTCACAGATCTCGAAGAACTGTTCTAATCCAATAGTTAAACAGGGAGAGCTCATAGCTCTTCTCATGAGAGGAGGGTCCTCCTAGGGGCATTACTCTTTAGATGGTATGAAGAATTTAGTAAGCTTTATCCCATTGAGTCGATGCTGCAATGATTAACTTTTAACCTGTGGTCTGTGGTTCTTGCTTGTAGCTGTTAAACCTGATACCATAATAAAATTAGCTTGAAGAATTTGAAAGACCACTCACTCAACAACCCCACCCAAAATATATCAAAAAAAAAAAAAAAATAAAAAAAAAAAAAAAGAAGAGAAGAAGAAGAGGAAGAATGAAAAACACAAGCTGATCTTAGTTTTGGATCTTGATAAGTAGTTCCTGAGTTTGCTGTTATGTTAGTTTGCCATGTTCTTTTGTTGGATATCCTTGTGTGTGTTTCATACTTTTCAGGACTACTTCTGGACAAAAGACATCACTCCACTATGTTGCACCACAATAAATGATATCATATATAGATTGCTTTAGTGAGTTTTGACTTTTTGTTGCTTGGGAGATTGATTGATGTGAATATTGCATACGTTGCTTCCATGATTTGTGCAGAATTACGGTTCTCTCGACTCCATTGAACCTGAAAAAGTCATTTTAGAGAAGGATCGTAATGCTTTTGATTCAGCCTTGGTGTCTGAGATTGATCAAGCAATGAAGAAACATGCTGATAATCTATTCCATGCCTTGGAAGGCGTTAGTGCACGGCTATCTCAGCTGGAGAGCAGAACTCGCAGCCTTGAGAATTCTGTGGATGATTTGAAGGTATCTGTTGGAAACAATCATGGAAGCACTGATGGGAAAATGAGGCAACTAGAGAACATTCTTAGAGAGGTATCTTCTTTTACTACCTTCCCTAAGGTTACATAAATGCTAGGACTGCATTTCGTTCAGGTGAAAGTAAAATATAACCATTGGATCTAGTTGGCTGACTTTGTCCCTTAAAAAAAAAATGATATTTGTTTGTACAAATTCAATGTTCTTCTACCACAAGGCGAAGAGATCAGATTTCTTCGTCTCTTTTAATATTTTAGGTGGTGCTGGTTTCAAAGAATGATGATGAACTAAATTGCTTAGTTCTTCTTGTATGCATGCATTGACATAGTATACAGACATTACTTAATGCTCTAGTTGGACTGATAGCCGTTAGAAGATCGTGTGTTATACGTTGTGATGAGTTTTCTTATTAGAATATTTTAGATAATATCCTTGTACATGCTTCGTAGGTCTTCTAGTGGTCTCCATGGTGGAATTTCGGATTTAATAGGTTAGTATGTTGAGTATTATTGGTTTTGGAAGGCTTCTATGAGCTTTTTGTTTTTTTAGAGCCTGTATATATCTGCGTTTGGGAGGGGGGCAAAAAGCCAAATGAAGTTTGCCTAAAGGATCATGTTTATTTTGCAAAGTAGCTTATGGTTTTACCGTTCACTTGATTATTCAGTTCACCCTTGGCATTTATCAACAATTATTGCAGGTACAAGCTGGTGTACAGGATGTAAAGGATAAGCAGGAAATAGTGGAGGCTCAGTTGCGGCTTGCAAAGCTTCAAATGCCCAAGGTAGAGCATCACTCAGAAGCGCAAAACACTGTGCACATTGATTCTATGCAGCCGGCAGCCTCTGCTCCTCAGCAATCTCACCAAAATTTTCCTCCTGTGGCTATTATACAACCACCTTCGGGTCTTCCTCCACCCAATGCTCCTCCTCCACCCCCCTCACAACAGAACCTCCCACCTCCAGTTCATCTTCAGAACCAATTCCCCCAGAACCAGATTCTTTCTATTCCTCAGCGTGAGTCTTACTTCCCCCCACCTGGTCAGACACAAGAAGCTACAAATCAGCAATTCCAACTACCTCCTGCACAGCAGCAGCAACAGCAGCTTCCCCCACCACCACCGCCACCACCACAGCAACAGTATCAGCCTCCTCATTCTCAATACTCTCAGCCACCTACACCGCCTCAACAGCTTCCATCACTCTCATCTGTTAATCCTCCTCAACCTCAACCTCAACCTCAACCTCAACCTCCACTAGGTCATCGTCCTGAAGAAATACCTTACTTACCATCTCAGACCTATCCACCAAACCTTCGCCAACCACCCTCTCATTCACACAGTGGAGCACCTCCCACCCCACAGTTCTATGGGTCTCCATCCCCAATGTATGAGCCGCCATCCAGTAGACCTGGTCCTGGATTATCTTCAACATATGGTTCGTTATCTGGGCCTGTTGAACCATATCCTTATGGTGGACCATCTTCTCAGTATGGAAATGGCTCTGCAATAAAATCGCAGCAACTTCCTTCTCCTGCTGTGGCCCAGAGTGGTGGAAGTGGTTACCCCCAGCTTCCAACTGCTAGGATACTACCGCAAGCTCTGCCTACTGCATCTGGAGTCGGTAGTGGATCTGCTTCTACTGGGGCTGGAAATAGGGTTCCTATTGATGATGTGGTTGACAGAGTAACAAATATGGGATTCCCGAGAGACCAAGTTAGAGCCACAGTACGAAAGTTGACAGAGAATGGACAGTCGGTTGATTTGAATGTAGTGCTGGATAAATTGATGAATGATGGAGAAGGCCCCCCGAGAGGTTGGTTTGGCCGCTGACATTGTTCTTCTAATTGTACATGTAAAAAGGCATCGGGATTGATTGTTTTCGGATCAGCTTTGTTGTGAGAGACCTTTTGCCTTGGATAGTAGGGGTTATTCCCTTACACTGCTTTGCTGCTGTTGCGTTTTAATGATCTACAGTTATTGCAGAACTGTTGTTCTTGCTGTTTATAGAGTTTAATGCTCCCTTTTTCTTTGTTTTTGTTTTTGTTTTTTTGGATCTCTGTATATTCACAATAATTGAGTTGAAAGCAGATTATTAAATGTTTTTACTGCTATTTGGTACCCATTTTTCTTCTTTTTCATTTACTTTTTTTTTTTTCTTTTTGGCCTGGGGAAGCTTTTATCTTGGCGAGGCCACGATTAAATGATTAATTGTGAGTCAAAACTCATATTTGTGCTTTGTGGGAGACTCAGCTTATGGACTTGTATAACATTTTTATCTTGTACATGTCGTTTTACTGAAAAGATTTCATAACTGGGGTGGCTAATAATTTTAAATCTTTGTAATTACCTCGTGAATTATATTTGGTTAAATATAATATTTGTTTAAGAGTTTGCTTTTCTACACCATAATCTTTATATTACGTTTTTTCTCTTGATCCGTGCAATTTAATTGTGCAAACACTCGCAAAAATGGTATGAAAATGAAGATTGTTATTGCTAATTACTAATTTTAACACGGTGAAATTCATGTCCCAATGAGGTGCCAAAATCCAACCAGTAAAATGTATTTATTTTGAAAGATCCTTTTTTTTTTTTTTTTTTTTTTTCCCCCAATTATTTATAGGGACAGATTTAGGAAAAGAAACATAATCCTAAAATTGGAATTTAATTGTTATTGTTTTGTCTCACTAAAATTTGCTTAGTTTATGACTTATAAAATAATTCTCTAATTTCGAAAATATAACATTGTTTTAAGAGAATTATAAAAGATAATTCTTTGTAAACATAGACGTTCTTTAAATATATTTTCAAAAAAATAGTGCTTATCAATCAAGCACATTTTTGTACAATTTTTTAATTTTTGATTCTTAAAAACCTATACTTAAACAATTGAACTAAGAAGGTTAAGTTACTAAATGAAAATTAATTCTTGTAGTAAGTTATTCAGATAATTTAATAGTAAAAAATAAAAATTAACACTTGATTTTATGGATAATCCAATTACCATTCGATTTTGTTACTCATTCCGAATTTTCAAGTTCAATCAATCCACATATTCAATTTTATTTTTGTCAAAGTAAATATTGCTCGAGTATGTGAGATTACTTGCATAAAAATTTACTCGGACAACTTTAACATCTTTACATTTCCCAGACCAAAATTAAATAATTGAACAGTTTGCAATTATGCTAATATTGAGGGATGTAATAGTAATTTTAACTCCCTCTTCTTAATGGAGTATTTTCGGTCGCCTCGTCTCTTCTCAGTTCGTCCTCAACCCCACCAAACCTCCAGTGGTCATTGTATAATTGTTTTACAAGTTTTATTTTTTTTAGAATTTTATAAATCTAGGGTGGATTATTCGAATTGTCCATAAAACCAAAAGCTCGCTGTTCATGGTTCTGCAAAACCCATAAACGACTTTTGTAGAGAGAGAAATAATCTAGAGAGAGAGAGGAAGGGGCAATGAGACCAAGCGAAGCTAGCTAGTTCGAGAATCGAGATACATATAAGGGGAAAGAGAGAATCGAAGACCAAGCAAAGCAAATCTATATAACGAGGTTGGTTTATTCATTATCTTTTTTGTTCTTAATTTGTAATTGAAGTTTATGTCGTATGTATATAAGCGTATAGATTCATGATACATTGTTGGATTTCGAATTGTGTGTGATCGGCTTGGTTTTGACCGCACCAGGGCAAAAGAGTGTGCGTAGGTACTTTCATTCTAGGAAGTTGTAGAAGGGCTTGTAACCTACGGTTAATTTGTTTCCAGTTTAACCATGTACTCAATTGGGGACTGGAAAAGCCCTCATTTTGTTTCTCTCTCGGTGATAAGAGCTTTCATTTGATTTCCAGAATTATAATTTTTTTGTTGCAATGCATAAAATTGTGGATATAGTTTATGCATTCTTCTACTGATTGTGGGTCACTGTATGCAACAAGTTTTAATGGTTTGTCATACATGTGGAATGTTTAGTGAAACGTGAGTTTAGGCGGACTACCTTTTGGTGAATTAAGTGGTCTTAAGTCCTGACTTCGTGTTGGCTGCTCAATATGCCTGTTTTGAAATATGTGGCACACATTTTATGTTTAAATCTATTATGACACTGGTACTTTGTGATTAAGTAAGCATGTTGGACCCTCCAAAAAAAATAAAAAAAATCATCTTGAATTTAGCTTATTGCCTTAGTATTGCAATGAGTCGTGTGTTTATTTGAGTTATCTGGGAGGTGTTTTTGGTGTTCCTGAGTTGGAAAACTGGTTTGTGATAAGTATGGCCATTTTTAGGGTTCTGATTCATTAGATTTCTATTGGACAAATGGAGAGCTTGATGGTGTGGAATTTTTTTCTAGGATAATGACAATAATGCTATGTTTGGTTGGAAGGAAGGATTGAGGAAGGATGGAAGAGAGGATGGATAGAATAAGCTTCCCTTGTTTGGTTGGAAGGAAGGGAAGAGTGGGAGGAAGCATCCCTCCTAACCCATGTTTTTGGAAAGTTTTTATCCATCCAAAATTGGGTGGAAAATAGGAGGGAAAGAAAGAAAAGTTACCCTAAAAATATGTAATACCAATTTTGACCTTTAATTACTTACACAATCACTTGTTAAATCTTACTGAAATTCTCTCACACATATAATAAGGATATATTGGTGAAAAATTATAAAAACTCTCATTCCCATCCTTCCAATCAAACGAAAAAAGGTTGTAACTCAATCCATCCTTTCTACCGTCCCATCCATTTAACCAAACAAAAGTGTGGGGGACACCTTCCCATCCCTAGAGATGCCTAATCCATCCTTCCCCCTCTCCCTTCCATCTATTTTTCCATCTCTCCAACCAAGTGGAGCATAAAATGTGTATACGCGACTATAAAAAATCACTTATATATACAGAACTGAGGGGTGTGGATGATTAATGCTAATGTGATTGGCATGAAGGGTATTTTTTGGAAGGTTAGTTGTTGATGTTCATCTGTGCATGAGTTCGATATTGTCCAGATATTTGATTTTTATAAAGCATGCACGGAAAAGTGAAGTCAACGTATCCGATTGTCACAAGGCATGCCCCACTTTACTATGTATAATCTTCTTTTTTGGTTTTTAACTTTATGGTCCTTAGTGGTGGTGTTGTCCCATGCAGCTCTAGTTATTGTGATTCATGACTTGTATAACTTGTATCCCATGAAGGTGGTAGTCCATATGTTTATTTCTTTAAAAGGAGAAAATAAGAACAGGTCAAGTGAGCTTCATCCAACCGGCTCAAACTCATCGATTTAAATACACGGACTTGGATAGGCAGGTGGTTAAAGATGATAATCACATATATTGAGATCGTGCTCAGCCCATAAAAGTTTTCAATTCGACACTTTGCCCAGAGTTAACATCATATTTTAATGCACTTGTATTCCTTTTTATAAACCTGATCGTAAAGCTCTTAATCAAGAGCATAAATGCCAAAAGCATGACGTGAGATAACTGGACATTTAATTACATTTTTCATATGCCTCAAGTGTCAACTTTTCTTGGAATTGCCATAAAAAATTTCAAACATGCATACCATTGTTACTAAATTTGAAACTGGAAGCAGTGAACATATTTCAAAGTCAGCATGAATTGTGAAAGGGGAAAACGTTTTGGAATCAAATGGAGAAACCTCAAGGATTCGTTTGGAAGTCTTTAATTCGGTACTGCTATCACATCTAGGATTATCTCACATCAATTGAGATTATTCTTGTACCTAGATATTGGTGCAGGGTGCTTTTTCCTACTTACGTGGATTGCAATTTTTAGGACTGAATATGTGATAATTTAGATTTGTGAGCAGATTGAAATGAGTTTTACTCCTTTGATTGTAGGAAGAGAGTGCTATGAAAGGAAGGGGTGGAGAGAGTTGCAGTTTTATAAGTTTGTAATTATTTAGTGAAATAAAGACACATATGAAAAAGTAAAGACTACAGGAGAATTTTCTTTAGTGCACACCATCTCGTTTTCTTTTCAAAAGTGGACAAAAAAGGGAGGAGGGGGGTTGTATGAGAACGGTTTTTGTTTTAAAATTTTTGCCCTTTAAGCAACGCCCTTATGGCAATATGGAAGGACATAATGGTAAAATGAAGTAGCACCTATTTTCTTCCTAGTTAACCAAACAGACAAAGAGGGAAAGACAATTTCCTTTTCCTGGACAATCTTTTCCATCTCTTTTACAATTTATTCTTCTTAATTTCTAACATGTCTTACCAAAAAGAGCATCTGCTTTATTATATAGCAGGCAGAGCCGCAGAAGACATGATTTGGGAAATAAAACATATCTACAGTGAGGTCCCTTACATTTAACATTGCTAAAAATAATCATTACTGTTTCATGATATTTCTGCCTAAGCATGCTTCAAATGACCCTGTAGACTAACTATAAGTGAAATCTTTTGGTAACTATAAATTATTTTAGAATCAATTGTAAATGTCTAGACAACGCACGTGAGACCTAAATGGAAATTTTGGTGCGAAACTTTTTTGGCAATAATGATGGTAATATTTTAGAAACATTCCACTGATATTTACTGAGGTTACCTGACATGTTTTAAAATCATTACTCCATGTTAAAATAATTTCTAAATCTGCATCTCTTGGACAATCATCAAACAAATGAATAGCATTAAAATTTTTTCTAACTCTACATAATTAGGATCTTTTAATGTTTTGGTAGCATCTTCACTCCATTAAATTTTATAACATTTAAGTAAAAGCCGAATTTCCAATATGGATTGCTTTACAGTTCCGAATCACATCCAATGCAATGCGATGCAAACGTTTCCATAGCAAATTATAAACTTACCATGCATTTTTAATTTTTTGGTAACAAAATTATAAAGCATCAACACTGATCATCATCATCATCATCCTTGCCTTTATCCCGTACAAACAGGGTCGGCCACATGGATTCTCTTTTTCCAATCTTTTCTATAATAAGCCATATCTCCTATTGTATTTAAAACATTTCATATCACTTCATTCCGTGTTAGTTTAGGTCGGTCTCTTTGTCTCTTACCTTCTATGCAAATCAATCTTCTCCTCATGGTTGAAACTATAGGCCAACGCTGAATATGTCCATACCACCTAAGTCTACTCTCTCTCATTTTCTCGTTAATAGGTTCTACACCTAGTTTTTCCCTAATCCTTTGATAATTATTCTTATCTTCCCTAGTTTTTTTTTTCCCTAATCCTTTGATAATTATTCTTATCTTCCCTAGTTTTTCCTAACATCCATCTTAACATCCGCATTTCTGCCACATAAGTGCATTGTTTGTTTTTCCTTTTATACGCCTAACATTCTGCTCCATATAGAATAGCAGTTCTTATCTTTGTTCTAATGACTGTTCTATAGCCGATCTAATGACTGGTATAAACCATCAACACTGATGATTGGGGAAATCTTATAACCTTTGAAAATACTTTTTCCCCTGTAAATATGTTCCCAGCTTAGATGTTCGCTTACGTGAATATTTTTACTTTTTATCTATTTAGATATAAATAATTGTTAAATATAGAAAAGTTGTTAACAGATAAGAATAATGGAAATAAAATTACGTTTTATGTATGCAAATATAAATTGAGAGGTGATTATCAGCTAGATATGGTGTATCACATAGTTGTTGCAACAAAGTTATAACATGGTAGGTTTATGTTTGTTATGGAAAACCTGAAGGCTCAATTATATTTGAAACTTCAAATAAATTTTTTTTTTGATAACTGGGGTGTCTAGGGCTTTGCCATGACTAATCCACGGTACCTGTACAAAGCGACCCCTCCACACGAATCGGGTAAAGCTCAGACTATGTCCGCTGTCGTAGCCGCTAAAGAATTGATCGAACTCGAGAGGATTCAAACCTGAGACTTAATGCTTCATGAGGCACCAAGTCCCAAGGCTTCACCACTGGAGCCAAACCCTTGGGGTTATATTTGAAACTTCAAATAATATTCCAATAACACATGAAGAGTTTATTAAATTAAAATTTGAAATTCAGAAAATATTATTTTTAAGTTTTGAATATGTTCGACTCACATCTACTGAAGGTATTGTTCTTACAACTTGACAAAGATTTGATCTCTCGCTTGCCTTTTTAATCGATAATAGAAGTGCTTTACTTTAATTATGTGCAATTTAGAGAGAAAGACTGTATTAACAACAAAAAATAAGATTAGGTTTGGGTTTGAGGTTGGTTAGGGGCCTTGTTTAAACCTTGCAGATGTGGGCTGATTAGCCGCTCTACTGCAGACAAGTCTGGTTGCCATTTTTAGAGTGTGTTCATCCATTAAGTTCCATGCTTTGAGTCTTTGACGTGTTCAATGAAAAGTCTTCTAGAACTTCATAATTATCTGTATGAGGTCTGTTAGTCAATGGTTCATAGAGCTGATTGTAGTTTTTATAAATCTGAGCAGCTATATCTGAGACTTTCAGCCTCCAGTGATGGAGTTTGATCTGTTCGTTTCTTATCTAGGGAACAACCTTTTTGGAATAATATTTCCTCTCCCATTCTTCTTTTTTGGTAGACTAGTATTAGAGGGGGCAAAAGAAAACAGAAAAAATTCTCTGAATGCTTTCCTTTAATCCTAGAGCTGATTTTAGTTTTTATAATTCTGAGCAGCCATTGGTCTGGGTATATCTGAGATTTTCAGCCTCCAGTGATGGAGTTTGATCTGTTGGTTTCTTATCTATGGAACTGTCTTTTTGGAATAATATTTCCTTTTCCATTCTTCTTTTTTGGTAGGACAAGACTTGCCTACTCACCGGTGAGTAGGTCATTCCTACTAACCGCTGATGTGGTCCAATCACAAATGCACAAATAATCCATTATTACAAAATCAAGAAAGTGATAATAAGGAAATCAGGGAGGGTGGCTGGATTTATTCCAAAAAAAGGTTAATTGTCCTTTCTTTTATTTTTATTTTTTATTTTTTTTATCACTTTCCTGATATTGTAATTACAGATTATTTGTGCATTTGTGATTGGATCACATCAGCGGTTAGTAGGGATGACCTACTCACCAGTGAGTTGGCAAGTCTTGTCCTTTTTGGTAGACTAGTATTAGAGGGGGCAAAAGGAAACATAAAAGAAGGCTCTGAGTGCTTTCATCTTATCCTGCAATAGTTTCTTCTTTTTAAATGTTAAATTATACATCTAAAACTTTGTAACGGGTTTGTTAATGGCGAAGACAGTCAAATTGTTTGCATATTACATATCATATGCATTGTAGGTGTGTTGTTCATATCATATCGTATAATCATTTTTTTCTGTATGGGTATTATGAGATTCAGTGATTATGTGATAATGATCTGTACCTTTTACAATGTAACACTGTGCCATATCTTATTCTTCATGGTAAAATTACAATTATTTATTTGATGTTTCTAAACTACCATGGTTTACATCAATGATATTAAAATACATTGATCATCCGGTCTAGTCATTGATAAATTCACAGACCTCCCTTTGCTGTCAGGTAAAGGATGGAAAATACTATTATTAATGCCTTTTCTCTGAGTTAACAAGCAAATAAGCTCAATTGCGTCTTTTTGAAAGAAATCCTATTATTTCTTAATATGAAAAGGATAGCACAAGGGCATAAAGTATATCCGCTGAGTCTGCTAGTAAATTCAGACGAAAAGTTTTCTTTGTAAAAACACTTTTAGTGATTGAATGAAACATGGAAAAAAATTGGACTTTAATTGATGTCATTATTCTCCAACTACAACTTTATTGGTGAGGGAACACCTGTGATGTAATTATGGAACAATTAATTTACTCGGAGGCCATTGTAAATTTAGAAACATTATGAGTGGTTTTATCACTTATTTAAAACCTTATGGGAAGTAATAAAGTTGGCACATCGTCTTTCATTTCTGGTCTGTACTAGATTCACTTTTGGTCGCAAGATTAAAATTGAGTTCTTCTGTTCAATTTGTGCATATGCAACCCGCTTACAGTTTTTTGCTTTTCCTAGGCCTTGACTTAATATTTTACATCTTCAAAGCGTTGGTTTGATATAGCTTGATCTGCAATTTGTTTGGTATAATAGTGTTTTTCTAAAACTTGTTGGAGAGGTTAAGCTGATTTTGGCCTTTGAATATTTTATTTTCTTTAGAGTACCAATGCATATACTTTTTCCGTCATGGACACATATAGAGCATTTGGACATGGCTATTTCTTACCAGTGTTTAAGTGGTTTACCCATAACCCAAATTTTTTTTTTTTTTTGGTTTGCCGTTTGTTTTAACAGGCGTGCCAGTAATTGCTGAGCTGTTTCCAGCCGATGAAGCGGTTTGATTGCCTCATCTGCTAGGAGCTTGGAACTTCAAATTCCACAAAACAGGTTGAGAATTGTATACCTGTAGGATCAAATGGAGTTAAAAGTTTCATCTGTTGAGGAAGGGGGTCTTTCGCCTTCTGATTGTGTGAGTGACCCTGAGGAGAAAGAAATCAGTGATGATGACGATGATGATCGTAACCATAAGCATCGTAGGCGGGAGACACAGTCTCAATATTTGGAAAGAGGTGCTCTAGAGCAAGTTTTAACAAGGCCATACAGGAAGTGGAATAAACCCTTTGAAAATGGACAACCTTACAGGGAAAATAATTCTCAGTCAAGTGGAACCTTGAGAAATTATAATGCCGCCCCTTTAGAGAAAGACCTGTCTGCAAAGTTTGAAAATAGACGCCCTGGCTTAGCAGCTTTCCCTCGAGCTCATATGGATTTGAATCAAAGAATCAGGGCAAACCAGTCATCATCTGGTGAGCCTGGTCCAGGTAGAGGTAGAGTAAGGGAAACTGGTTATTGGAGCCAACGTGATTCTAGGTTTAGCTCAGTTGATATTGCTTCTCAAATGGTCCAACAGGGATTTGTTCCTCCCACTTTATTTGCAGGAAGGGGGTTGCCAAATGTTTCAAATGCAAAGAGTGCATCCTGGAGTGCATTTGGATTGATTCCAGGGATACCAAATGGTGGTTTGGATACACTCCATTCCCTTGGTTTGCAAGGATCGCTGAGACCACCAATCAATCCACTGAACATGGGTATTCCACGTCAACGATGTAGAGACTTTGAGGAGCGTGGCTTTTGCCTTAGAGGTGACATGTGCCCGTTGGAGCACGGTGTCAATAGAATTGTTGTTGATGATGTTCAGGTATGCAATGTTTTGCTTGTATCTATTCTTATTCAAGTTTCCATGGGATTTTTTATTCTGGAGAATGCTTGGATGATGGAGGAAAAGGAAGCCCTAGACAACTATGCATCTCTGTCAGAACAATTTAAACCGTCTGACTTGTTGTTTATAATTGATTGATGAAAATATGTATTAGATGTCCAATTATCTGCTGTTGTGATTTTTTTCTGTGATGTTTTCGTCAAAGCTTCGCAACTACCCCATAAAAAGAAAATAAATAAACAAAAAGGAAAAGAAAAAGAAAAAAAAGAAAAGAAAAAGGACCATTATTGCTTGTCCCAATGAATCTATGTATTTTGCCTACACAGGAAGCAGATACAGGGTGATGGCTTCTTTAATTATCGATTTTCAATTACTTGACTTATTTGTGCATGTACCTTCTGCATGCGTCTATGTGCCGCTAATTATTTTGAAGATGTTAGGCAGTGGATGACATCTCACACTGTTTTTTCCCAGATTCTAATGCTTTTTTTCCCTGACATGTTTGTTTTTACTTGTACAAACATGATAGATGATGTGTAAACCTGCTTAGACTCTTTCTGGTTGCTGTAATTTCCTTTTACCATGACTTCTAGTCTTAGAAGATCTATTCGGAAGGAGAACCAATTGACAAAGTGTATAGATGCCCCAATCCTTGTGTATGCTCTCTTGATTTTGAGTCATAGATGAAATGATTTGTACAGGGTTCATTTTTAGTGATTAGGATATTGTTGCAATTGTAAATCACATATTCAATTATTAGATAGATTTGCAATCTTTATAGTTATTGGTACTTTGGAATTCTGTAACTGTGTGTGTCTCTAATTTTGATTTCTCATCTTTACGAAGCAACTCCTTTTTGTTTGCCATATACTTAAGTTGTTGTAATGAGGAGTTGTTTTCCAAATCGCAGAGCCTTTCACAGTTTAATCTCCCAGTTTCACTTTCAAGTGCACAGCTGTTGGGAATACCTGCTGGAACAGGGCCTATAAGCACATTGATTGATAGCAAAAGTAGCAAGTCTGGAACGGCTGATGATGGATTTGGCTGGAATGGTGCTTTAACTGGTTCAGCTGGAGCAGGTGGAGCTGATTTTTATGATCCTGATCAGCCTTTGTGGACTAATGATTGTGCTGAAAGATCGACTGCACTTTCAGCACTTAATCCATCTAAGATTGATGAAACAGAGTCTTTGTTGGATGCTGACCTCTCGGATCGTTATCAACCCAGATTTTGTGATGGCTCTGATAACAAATGCCCAGTTCGAAGTGATCCGACTGCTGTTGAGTCTCAAAGTACTAGTAAACCTGTGTGGGGAAGAATTGATATTTCGAAAAATAGATCAGAAATGAAAAAGAAAATTGGTTCTGCTTCCTCAAATTATGTTGATAATGAAGCAAATGAAGATCGGGTGCTACCAACCAGCATTCAGGGTGCTGCCCAACAAGGGAAGCGAATAATCGTGGAGGACATCCGTCCGCAAGTTATGGTTTCATTGAAGGCACAAGGTGATTCTGGGCATAATATCCGGAAACCATCTCAAAAGGCACTACGTACTCTTTTTGTCAATGGCATTCCCCAGAAGGACAACAAAAAGGATGCCCTTCTTTCACATTTTCGGAAATTTGGAGAGGTGGTTGACATTTATATTCCATCTAGTAGTGAACGAGCTTTTGTTCAGTTTTTGAAGAGGGAAGAGGCAGAGGCTGCACTTAAGGCACCTGATGCTGTAATGGGTAACCGCTTTATCAAGCTTTGGTGGGCTAATCGGGATAGCATTCCTGATAATGGAACGAGGCTTGGCAATAATGTCTCTGTAATGCCCCATGGTATGACAGTTGCCTCAGTTCCACCTCATCCATCAATTACTGATGGAGGGAAAGATAATCTCCAATGTTCCGCCCCAAAAGTTAGTTTTGTCCATTCTTCTGTTTCTCCTCTGCCTACTTCTGGTCACCCGGAGGCTGCAATCACCAATGGTCCTAAAGCCCCACCTCCTTTTCAAAAGAAGCTTGAGAGTTTAGAGCTCATGAAGGAACTCCTTAAGAAGCAGGAAATGCTTGATCAGAAAAGGAATGACTTTCGCCGACAATTGGATAAACTTGAGAGACAAGTAATAGTTTCTTTTAATTGAATTTTTTATTTCCAAGTGTCCTCCTCATTTGCTCTATGCCTTGTGTTTTTTAATTTGCTATTGTGGAACCTTGAGTCTTTTCAGACGTTACATGTGCCTCCATTTTAATCCTAAAATTTTCACTGTTTGCAGGCATCAGGTCTCAAAAGTGAAGTGGCGTTTGAGCAGGCCGCTAAGCGACATAAAGTGGGAATAGTAGCTGATGTTGCAGAAGCGTCAATTCAGAGGTCCGCTGATCTTGGTACTGTTGTGGCATCACCTGTGGCTGAAGTGATGGTAGATAAGAACAAATCTGCAGAGAATGTTGTGCATCATAGTCCCAAAATGAATTTGGTCGTGGCACCGCAGCAACCTTCAGTCTTGAAACCATCAATCCGTCCATTGGCACCTCTAGGGGCACCCTTTATCTATAGATTCAAATTGGACAACCGTCCCACAGCATTTAAAATTATTCCACCTTTGCCAAGTGGTCTTGCAAATGTGAGTCTCTCTCTCTCTCTCTCTCTCTATATATATATATATATATATATATGTATGTATGTATGTATATGGGCATACTTGTGACTAGCTTGGCTATGTGCTTTTATGTACTTCTTTCCTTCCTAATGTCACCATTTATCTCGGGACTGTAATTTTCTTTCTCAATGAATTGAGTAAATTCTACGCATATGTGAACTTTTATTATTTTCCTCCATTCATAAACTAATATCTTTATGTTCCTTAGGTTGCTATTTTGAAAGAACACTTCTCCACATTCGGTGAACTTTCTACTGTAGAGCTAGACAATTTAGACTCTAATGGATCAGATGCATCAAAAAATTGTTCAGCTTTAATATCTTTTACGACTCGTCGCTCAGCTGAGAGGGCATTTGTGGATGCTAAATGCTGGCAAGGCCACAATTTGCAATTTATTTGGCTGGCATCCAGTCATTCTAGCAATGTCAGTGTCAAAGAAAACCCTTCATCTGCTTCTAAGGGGCCGTCAGATGGTAATGTGCAGCCGACATGTGAAGTTGCATCAACTATTACCCAGGAATTAGCTCTCTCAGGAAATGCAGAATCTGAGAGTTTGGATAGAAGAGATGGTGACCATATGGAACGGGATGAAGACTTACAGTCGTGTTTATCCGAAATGTCATTCGAGAAACAGCCACCAAAAGGCGACGTGTGCTGAGGATGGCCTAATCGCCAGATTTGTACAGTGAGGTAAATGTCAATTATATCTAAATACAATATCAATTTTTATCCTCTCATTTGGTACATGTAAATTTGGAATTTTTGTGATTTTCAACTGCCAGCTTTGGGAAATGGTTGGCTAGTTGTGAGTTTTGTTGTGCATCAGATGCTCTGCTTAGGTATGTGTAGGACTGAGGACTAAACTTGAAATTTTCTATAGAAATAAAACGAATGATGAATAAGAATATGTTTGGTTGTCTGTTTTTACAATTCTCAAGTCAGCATATTTAAAAAGAATATCTGTGATTGCTATTTGGTGAATTATAGGGTCCATAATCTACAGTTGATCTTTGAGTATATTTTCTTGGAGGGTTTAAATCAGCTTTGTGATCCTGTCAAGGTATTGGTGTCGGGTCTGTATTGACGCAATGTAACAGAATGATTTTTTTTTTTTTTTTACATTGCACGCTACCCCCAACCAAATAAAAGGTCTCACATCTCTAATGCTCCCATCACTATCCTTTTCTGATTAATCATTACGGATACCGTACATCACAATGGGATGTTCACACATCGATTTTATTTGAGTTGTGTGCTCATAACTCACCACCCAATATGACTAAAAAAAATTGTCCGAAGTAAGGGAATTGAGCCCATGTTTTTTTTTTTTTTTTTTTTTTCAATATTGCACATAAAAATGAAAATATTGATACACTAATTTTACAACACTATTCCATATTAATAAAATTTAGTGATTTTATTAAAATTTTAAGATCTTTCAACACTTGGTTCTTATTAAAAAGATGACATGGTAATAATATTTCTATTATTAATGAATAATAAAATATTTAAGGATGAAATAAATTAAAATTTATACCGTATATACTATGTGAGAAGTGAAAAAAAATAATACAATATTAAAGAATGAATAAATATATAGGTTTGAATTTAATAAACAAAGGCACGTTACTTTTTGGGAAGGTTTAATGTTTTTAATTTTTAGGCAAAGTACATACAGTGTTAACTTTTTAGTATATATTTGGTGGAGAATATAACAAGGTATGGCAGGCTTGGCATAGTGGATGGTCGCACATGCTTACACAGGCTCAACTAGTTATTTTTCATATAACACGGTTGGCAATTTCTAATAACGAAATGGGCCTGACAAAGTCCATTTCTAATAACTAACTAGCCCAATTCTAATAATTTATTTGGCTTTCTAAGAATGAATAGGCCCAATCTCATAATGAAATGGACCAGACGAAGCTCAATTCCCAATTCTAATAACTAACGGCCTCATGAAGCCCAATTCTAATAACAAAATGGGCATCCTAATAATGAAAAGGCCCAATATAATAATGAAATGGGCCACGTGAAGCCCACTTCTAATTATGAAATGGACCTTATGAAGCCCAACTCTGAATAAAATGAGTTTTCTAATAACACATTGGGCTACAGGCCCAATTCTAAAAACTAAATGGACTTTCTAGTAAGAAATGGGCCTTATGAAAGACGATTCTAATAATGAAATTGGCTTTCTAATATGGATGGGGCCTGACAAGCCTAATGTAGGTCCAATTCTGCCCAATTCAAATGAGGCAAGGCCCCAATCCTAAGAATCAATTGGGCCAATTTAAAAACTTAATTCATATCCAAACAAGGTTCGGATTGCCTACTGTTTTTTTCTCCACAACTCGTCTCGGAGATGACTTAATTCTAAGACTTCATAGCCAATTCTTAAACAACTGTGTTTGGTTGCCTGGAAATTATAGGAAACCAGAGGAATTACATTCCTCAATCTTCTATATAGCATTATCAAAACCTCGATTGCAACGTGCTTACCGAAAACACCAAAACAGTGCATAAAACATTATCGTGTGATTTTCTCAATTGTCCTATATTTTTCTCACTACATGACTGAATCTGGCAGAAGCTAATCACTAAAATGCAACACTTTTCGGTAGGTAAAAGTCCCGGTAAAGATAAAACTTTATCACCTAACAAAGGATTTAAATAGAATCAAACCATGAAAAATTAAAAATAAAATAAAAAATACTCAACCGAGGTACACTTGACATAAAACGTAGCACGCAGTCTACAAACAAGAGGTCCATTAAGTCCATCTCTGTCCCAAATTTCCAAAACCAAATTGCTTCAACCAGAATTCTTTGGTAATGAATGAAACAACGAAAGTTCATCTTATCAGAAGTTCAGCCAAATGTGGACTGATGTAAAACAGCCCACTTATCAAATTTGACAAAATTTGAATCATTTAATAAATTTATATACAAAAAAACAACATTACAAACTTGAAACAATACTAAGATTACTTGGTGAATTTACAGGCTGTAGAGATTGATCTTTCTGGGAGGAAGGCAGAAATTGCTTTCATAAAAATCCGATTTCAATCTATATGATTGCTACATCTTTTGCACAGTTTGAAATTCAGGGACCACCATGTTGGCAAGCCTAAGCTGCTTCTCAGGAGACAGATAATTTCTCAAATAAACACAGGTGCGATGCATTACCTGCATTAGGAAAATAGCCATACTATTCTCACTTTCGTCAATAGGTTGTGGGGTAGGTGAATTATCACCATGCGCTATACGTGTGGCCCAATCAAGAATTCGTTCGGTCGTGACCCACAGATACGAAACAACAGATTCCACCGCTACACCCCAACTAGTGTCTGATAGAAGAGATGTAAGAGTTATCGGTAGGTCACTCAACACAGTTAATGGGTCCACAATCAGAAGAGGCATATACTTAGAGCAGCTACCACATAGCAAACCAAGAAACTGCAAAGTCTGCAGTGGAACCAAATAGAAATATTAGCTGAACGTATCAAATCAACTCAAATTAAGAAGTTAATAAGATAAAGGATAGGGGTTTACTTATCATCCTTTCTACAGTAATTATTTCCTTTATAAGCATAGCTGGGGTATCCCATTATAGTTTCACCAAAAAGCGCATCAATTACTTGAGTGTTTACTGACAGGTGCATGAATGTAGGTTGTATATGAATAATGAAATGTGAACTAATCATTGAATTGATGTACAAAACAAGAATTGCCATCTAAAGAAAGACAACTGCATTCGGTCTTCCTACTCTCAACTGCATTAACAGGCATTCATTTTTCTGTCAAATTAATCAAATAGTTTTAGTCTCAATATATTTTGTCTTTGTTGTACTATTTCTTTAATTTCACCCACCAGCAGATGCACTTGAGCAAAACAAACATGACTCCAATCTATTAACAGAGTTACACTACCATGCATCAGGGATCTCTACAAAAGTGGGCCATCAATAACCAACTTGTTTTGAAGGTTCGTCATCAGTTTCATAATGCAATTATTCTACATCTAAAGAGAGATGCCTACCGTTGAAGGATATTTTGTAACACAGCTAATTTCTACTGCATCAAGAAGCCACTGTCTTTTGACACTTCCTTCAGCATGTTGCAGAGCTGCTACAACTTCAACCAGGACATCCCAAATACCTGCAAAGATAAATAACTTGATATGTGTTTGGGAAGCAATGTTTTTGGCTTAAGAGGCTTAGAATACAGCATCTCTCTCTTTTATTCAGCAATACAGAAGAATTGAAAATTCCCAGTTTCTGATTTTACTGACAGTTTAACCTACTAAGAGAAACTAACCATGTGATTTGTTGTTCAATAAATAAGCTTTTAGTTTTCCCAGCTCACTCAGTGGAACAGAACCGACACAAACTAGCTTGGCTCTTGCTTGAATCTTTTTCACTACTTTAGAGAAATAGGTGTCTCCTATTAAATCTACTTCCGAAACCTGCATGGGGAACAAGGAAAAGTTACTGGACTAGATCAAAGCTCCATTGCCTCATAATAACAAAGGGAATGTACTCTTCAGAGAGGACATATGTGTCAAGACTACATTCTTTAAAAAAATTACAAATAAAAAACAAAATTATAAATATATGAAACGTTCATTTATTTGTAAAGTTCCAAACTTAAGCAAAAATTTGAGATAAATTACTTCAGTAGTGACAACTATAACCAAGAAAAACTTGAGTACCTGCAGCAGATCCGATAACCAACTCTGTCGAGCCTTTCCTAGGCATCCAATTGCCTCAGACCACTCCACTGAATGCACCTGATTACTTTCTACAACAGTAGCGTGCAATACAGGCAACGAAGAAAAGAGCAACTCCATGCAATGTTCCATGTTCAATATATACTCTTGAGAACCAACAGGAGCTTCATCCATGCAAAGACAAAGACCTTTCCAGCATGAAATTCGCAATAAGCTTTTCTGTTCCGGGTTATAAACATCAGAAGAAGAAACTAAACAAGATAAGAAGTCAGCCACATCATCAAATAGTTTTTCAAGCCTAGAACCCGAGAACAGTTTTATCAGGTCTGCCAGATGAAGCAGCATAAATGACTGCAGATTTGGCTCAAGTGTCCTGAACCGGGGCAGGTCGTATAGCTCATCAAGGAAGCTAAGGAGTGAATCAAATTGGACTGCATGAGCTAAAGAGAACTGTAGACATTCATCCCTGAGGATTCCTTCCTTAAGAACTGAATCTGGTGGCAACAAATCAGTTACCTGGCCCTCATACTTCATACACCTTCTGATTATTGCAGCCCAATCCATTTCTGGCAATCTGGGAGCTTGTGAAAGGCACCGTAAAGCAGTTGCAACAGTGTTGATGTGTGAAACTGTACTCGTCTGAATATTATAAAACCAAAAAGTACACATTAATCAATAGGGATTTGTATTTTGCTGTGTGTCAATCTGTACTTCTATGACAGATTTTATGGCAAGAGAGAGATTAAAAGAGTGATTTTTGACATGGCTAACATGTGTAGCTTGATGCATAAAAATAAATAAACAAGTGCCAATTTTGGCTTGCAGAGAGAATTTTGGAAAATGGTCAAATTTTGGCTTTGCTAACTTTTTTTTTTTTTTTTTGATAAGTAAAATGTATTAAAAGGCGCTCAAAAGGGGAACGCGTCCCAAGCTATACAAAAAGCTGAACCTATGATCTCAAGGAACCCAAAAAGTCCACAAGATCCTCAATCGAGGAGAAATCTCTCCCCCAACCCCAACAAAAAAGAGCAAAAATAATAGAAAATTTCAACACCCCAATGGAGGATTCCTTCCCATCGAAAGATTTTCTATTCCACTCTTTCCAAATGTTCCACCAAACACAAAAAGGGGTTACCCTCCAAAAGACACTCGCCTGAGCTCCCACCCATTGGCCCCTCCAAATATCCAGCAAGTCCCGAGATGTCCGAGGCATGACCCAATGAATACCGAACAGATCAAAAATGAGACTCCAACAATCATGAGCCACAGGACAATGTAGCAGTAAGTGATCCACTGACTCCCCATTCAATTTACAAAGATAACACCGATTAACAATAATATGTCTTCGCTTCCTCAAGTTATCCAAAGTCAAAATCTTACTCCAAGCTGCAGTCCACACAAAAAAGGCCACCCTAAGAGGCGCCTTGGACAACCACACCGTCTTCCATGGGAAGGAAACGCCATGAAAACCTGAGAGGCACACAAAAAAAGACCGAACCTGGAATATACCCTGAGAAGAAGGCACCTAAATCAGGAAGTCAACACCAGTGCCCTCCACCTCCTGACTGTACAAGAGGGCCAACAAGCCAATGACATCATCCAACTCCCAATCCTGAAAAGATCGCCGGAATCGCACATCCCAAAATAACCTCCCGCTATCAAGACGATAGCAGTTAGCAACTATAGCATGTTTGTCAACAGCAATCCTGAACAGCCTTGGAAATAAAGAGCCAGAGGCCTATCCTCGCACCAGGGATCCTCCCAAAACCGGACAAACCTTCCATCCCGAATTCTAAATCTAACATGTTTGGAAAACTCGTCCCATCCTTGTCTAATGGCCCTCCACACCCCTACTCCACTAGCAGACCTGACTGGCCTAGCTGACTACCCCCCTCTCTCCTCCCCAAAACGACAAGAAATAACCTTTCTCCATAATTTATGCCTTTCACTTCTGAATCTCCAGAGCCACTTACAGAGGAGAGCTCTGTTAAAAGGAGCCAATCTCTTAATCCCAAGCCCGCCCAACTGAAATGGCCTGTAGACCTGCTCCCATCTGACAAGATAATACTTGGACTCCTCTCCACGACCCCTACTCCACTAGCAGACCTGACTGGCCTAGCTGACTACCCCCCTCTCTCCTCCCCAAAACGACAAGAAATAACCTTTCTCCATAATTTATGCCTTTCACTTCTGAATCTCCAGAGCCACTTACAGAGGAGAGCTCTGTTAAAAGGAGCCAATCTCTTAATCCCAAGCCCGCCCAACTGAAATGGCCTGTAGACCTGCTCCCATCTGACAAGATAATACTTGGACTCCTCTCCACGACCCCCCCCCCCCCCCCCCCCCCAAAGGAAGTTACGTTGAAGCATCTCAAGACGTCCAACAACCGAGGCTGGAACCCAAAGGAGCGAGAGGAAATATGTTGGGAGGCTTGACAATATACTTTTCACTAACGTAACTTTACCACCTTTGGAGAGATATTGCTTTTTCCAACCAGCTAATCTTCTCTCGACCCTCTCAATCACTGGGTCCCAAATTCCCACCCTCCTGGCCGAGTCCCCCAGCGGCAAACCCAAATACGAGATAGGGAAACGTTGCGTCCCACACCCTAAAACAGCAGCCAGAGTGTCCACCTCCTGAACCTCCCTCACAGGGGCAAGCACACTCTTGCCCATGTTGACTTTCAAACTAGACACAGCCTGAAAGCAAACCAAGACACATCTCAGATACCTCAACTGGGACACCTCTGCCTCGCGAAAAACAATAGTGTCATCTGCAAAGAGCAAGTGAGATATCTCCATCTGCTGAACGAAGTCGGGGCCAATCTTAAAGCCCCTGATAAAGCCTAAATCCACCGCCCTTTTCATCAACCTACTGAGAGCCTCTATAACAATAATAAAGAGGAATGGGGAAAGAGGGTCCCCTTGCCTCAAACCGCGAGAACTGCCGAAAAACCTCGCAGGAGACCCATTCACCAACACCGAAAAACTAACAGTGGAAACACATGAAACAATCCATTTCCTCCATTTCTCACCAAAACCCATCCCCTCTCCAATAGGTAGAACAGGAAATTCCAGCAGACATGATCATAGGCTTTCTCGATATCCAGCTTACAAAGAACACCAGGAACCCCACTACACAATCAAGAATCCACACATTCATTGGCAATAAGAGCGGAATCCAGGATCTGTCTACCCCCAATGAAAGCATTCTGAGACTCGGAGATAACTCCATCCAAAACCTCCCTCGATCGAAATGCAAGGACTTTTGCGATGAGCTTTTAAATACACCCAATCAGACTAATTGGTCGAAAATCCTTAATGTTAGAAGCACCACCCTTCTTAGGAATAAGGGCAATAAAAGATGCGTTCAGAGATTTCTCAAACCTCCCCATGGAATGAAACTCATGAAAAGTGCCCATAACCTCGTACCGAACCACCTCCCAGCTCTCCAACAGAAATCTCATAGTAAAGCCATCCGGGCCTGGAGCGTTATCACCATTACAGCTCTTAAGAGCCTTCAGCACATCTTCCTCCTAAAAAGGATTTTCCAACCCATCTCTTTCCACGGCAGAAATAGAATCAAAGTGAAGATCATCCAGACGTGCCCTCTATCGAAGAGGTTCAGAATATAGCTTTTGGTAAAAAGAGACAATACCGCTACGCACCTCCTCCTCCGTAGCCAAAATCGCATCATCCACACGCAACTGCCCAATGTGATTATTCCTCCTATGAGTATTAGCGGTTCTGTGAAAAAACTTGGTAATTCCGGTCTCCCTCTTTGAGCCATAAGACCCGAGATTTCTGTCGCCACGAGATTTCCTCCAAAATTGCAATCTCCACACATTCTGCCTAACAAGCTACTCTTTACTGCGTTGAGATTCAAAAAGAACACCCTCCCCTTCAAGTCTATCAATCTCGGCAATATCAGCTAAAGCCCTATTTTTTCTCCACTCCAAGCTCCCAAAAACCTCCTTATTCCACCTTTTGAGATTATATTTTAGAATACGAAGCTTTCCTACAAGAATAAAACTCGATGTACCCACCACCAGGTTCTTTGCCCACCAAGAATGCACAAGTCCCTGGAAGTTATCCGCACGAAGCCACATATTCTCAAATCTGAAAGGAGTGCAACGAGATTTCAACCCTCCACAGTCTAAAACCAAAGGAATATGATCCGAAGTCACCCTAGCCAACACAGCCTGAACAACATCCGGGAACTTCTCTTCCCAGTCACCGGAGATCAAAAATCTATCAAGGCGAGAAAAAGTTGGTGTTTCCCTTCCACTGGACTAAGTGAAAGAAGCTCCCTCAAGAGGAAGATCAATGAGCTGATGCCCATAAATAAAATCAGAAAAGTGCATCATAGCCTGAGTCCACGGACCTCCTGTAGATCTCTCCGCCGGGGACCTAACCACATTAAAATCACCTGCCACACATCAAGAAAGAGACCACCTCCCCTTCACCCCACTCAACTCCTACCACAAACCATCCCTCACACCATCATCAACTGCCCATACACCCCAGAAAAGCCCCAAGTGAAACCATCCTCCTCCATCACAAAGGCACAAGACAAAGAAAAGATCCCCTGAAAAACATCCACCTTAGCCATCCATCTTCTATCCCACATAATAAGAACACCACCTGAAGTCCCAACAGAATCCAACGCCACCCACTCTACAAACCGGTTGCCCCACAAACTCTTCACCACCCGATCAATCATAGAATCAATCTTTGTTTCTTGAAGACACACAACATGCACCCCCCATTTCCTCACCGCCATCTTCACCACCTTTCGCTTGCCCGGACCATTGAGGCCACGGACATTCCAAGATAAGAGGCGTAGCTTCATAAGGAAACACTCACCCCCATCACCCCCTTACCCCTCCCTCCTCCCTTCACACTCCCCCTCTCCTTCCTCCCCTCAGTCACCCTATCATAATTCACATTAGAACACAGATTCATAAGCTCCCTTTCCCCTTTCCACATAGACAGGATCTTCTTTTTCCGGCTTCTTCTACTGGAAAATTGAATCATCTCCCCCTCTCTCCCCTCTGCTGTGGCCAGAGGAATTGCTAAGGCCTGATCCCGATTGCCCTTGCAAGAGACACCCAGAAGTTCACTAGTGGCCCCAATATTAGCCTTAACCCATTCTTTTCCAGTATCCTCAACTTCCTGTCTACACTCCTTATTACCCAAGTCCTCTGGGAGAACAATGGCCAATGGGTCCACCACCCCCAAATTAACATGACCCTCCTCCTCCCACAACATCAGATCAAGAGACCTGCTCCCGTCTCCCTCACCTCCCTTGTCCACCACTGCCTCCTCAACATGAGAAGACCAGTCCTCACCATAATCCAAAACACCATCCCGGATGAGAGGGTCCGAATTGCAGTCAACAGTTTGCTCATCAGGCGAAAATCTGTGCTTCTGCAGCTCCTTTACCAAAAGAGAGGCTGATTCATCACTGAGGGAAAAACGGATATCCTTGCCCACACAAACAGTCACCAATTCAGGCACAGAATCCTTCAAACAAGTCACTGGACCATCTTTTAGAGAAGACCAAGGCCTTGCCAATTCACTCAAAGGAAACTTGGCCAACCTGCCCATTTCCTCCCCTGAGGAATCATTAAACTGAGA